ACAGAACAGCCAATCAGATGCTCATCGCCAAACTGGGACGACTGGTCGTCTGAACGCTGTGAGGTCAGCTGAGCCTGTGTATGTGTGTATGTATGTTTATGTATGTATTTGCGATCATGCTGACCCGTTGCCATGGTTTCCATCAGATCCGCCCTGATGACAGGAGGGGGGCGGAGCTCGACTACATCAAGATGTTTGGGGAGGAGTGGCTGAAGGCGGGCGGGGGGACTCAGCCCAGCAGCCAGTTCATCTGCCAGCACCCTCGTTACCTGAGCCTCATCGACAGTAAGCCACGCCTACAACTGCCACGATTTAAAGGAGTAGGCGGCGACACCTAGCAACAGCAACAGCGATGTCACAATAGCAGAAATTTAGTAGACATTACCGATCCCACTTATTCACGTCCGACACGGATACTGATTCTCTTGCTAACAGTTAACGCAGCCTCTGCCATGATATCCATACTGAGAATACTGAGAATACCAAGCTAGTACACGCATCATTGAAGTGAACGGATCGGCCCATCCATCAGCCCGTTGTCACCGATAACCTTTCCAGCTATTTGGGTAAGAATCGGACCGATATCAATGTCGGCCATCCCTAACCAATACCAGTAAAATTCCACAGTTCTCGATACCAGTTCGATACCACGGAAAAAAACTAAAACCAATCAATAAATCCCCTCATGTACATCAACATCCCCTCCTCTAAGAAAAACATATGAAGATTACAAAAACAGCTGTGAAAGCTGTGAGACGAAGACCAGGACGGATGAGATGTGGTTTGATGTTGAAATTACAACCCTGCACTGTGCATATTAGATTAATTAATTTAATAACTTAATTTTCTTAGCTTCAAATGTTTAAGGGTGGTCACTATGTCAGTTGGAGATATTTATGTTGATAAACAAAATTGTTGATGAATGAAATGGATCGTGTTGACCTTTTCAGACGGTCCCTAACTCCTCCTACCGTAACAGGCTCGTCGGACAGACGCTCAGTTCGTAGAGATGCAAACTGCATCGTCATCTTTGGTGATTTAGAGTAGAGCTGCAACGAAAATGAATAGACAACTTTTTTGATAAATAATTTAATTTAAATACATCACTTTGGGCTCTGAAAAAAATTGTGGTGAGCATTTTTCACAATTTCATTTTGAAAAATGGACTAAACAGTTTAATCGTGAAATTAATTGGCAGATTAGTCGATAATGACAATAATCTTTAGTTGCAGCCCTATTTTCGGGTGATGTAAACTGTGAAACGTCTTCCTAAATCAGCTCTCCAACTGTGAGAAGGCTTTGACGCGGAGCTGTTGAAGGAAACAGCCGTGAAACTAACTTCACCCGGTTTCCAACCACGCCTCTTTTTTATTGGACTGGCCAACGCGGAGCTGCAGCTGCACTTGTTGCTATCTTCCACATGTTGGATCCCCGGTGCCTTCCACACCTGGCGAAACAAGTACTGACATGTTTTTAGAATTTTGGTTTCAACCATAGTCTGTATAAAGAAGTGGATGTAGTCATGGTGACGTCACCCGTTGGTTTTGTGGACCGCCGTTTTGAAGTTTGGCCGAACGGTGCTGGTTAAATTTACACGGCCGTGGGTACCAGTCACTCTAGCCTGATTGACAGGTCGCCATGGTAGTGACTTGTAAATCACAGGGAAGTCCCGCCCTAAAGCCTCCCCTGCTTCCTGGTCTCTGTTCCTCTAAATGGGACCATAATTTACTAAAATGAACATCATGCTGTGTTGAAGAAGACTTGAAACTAGCGACTGAGACCATAAACTCATCAGGAAAGTGTTTACTGAGGGAATAAATCAGCTGAGAAGTAGAAAGATTTTATTATTTCTAATGGAACGGGACTTCTTTTGCAACCTGAAGAGTCGCCCCCTGCTGGCTGTTCTATAGAATGCAGGTTTAAGGGACAACTGCGTTGGATTCACGTTTCACACCGAAAGCTTCCCGCTTGGTATCGACTGTGACGTCCCTACTCAGCACGTTTGTTATACAAACCAGCCCCTCAGGACACCACTAATTTCATGTAAACTTTTAATAAAACAGGTACTTGCATGCAGGAGTGAATTTCCCTCTCTGCCTGAACCTCTGAACAGCACTGATGCTCAGTGTGTAGTTCAGGCAGCCTGGGAGAGGTGGGTATTTCACACACAAAGCAAATTAATCATGTACTGTTGGTTTTTGTTTTTCTGTAATCTATAGATGACAAAAAGTACTTCTCATATTTGAGATGTACTGTATTATATACACTATAAAATACCTTTAGATGAATAAAGTTTATTATTATTTAGTCTCCTCTGATGATAATAATGATGAAGAACATCTTGTCTTGTGTTTCAGAGTACGGAGCTCCAGAGGAAGGCGAGCTAAAGAAGCCGGAGCCGTTTGCCCTGAAGAATCAGCTGTTAAGTTAGTCCCACTCCCCTCCTTTCTGCTAGCTGCTCTCTGATTGGCTAGTGTAAACATACATGAGTAAACACGCTGTGGTTCCAGCAGAGTAAAACCACACACAGGAACACTGATCTTTTTCCTCGTCTCTCCTCACCAGAGATCGTGTTCGTGTTTCCTGATGACGCCGAGCGGAAACCAATCGAGAAGAAACTTCCAGGTAAAACGGCCGAAAAGGAAAGTCAGGTTGATTTTCTGTGTTTGTTGAAACTAAAAAAAGCATTTGTGTCTTCAGGAAAAATAGTTTTCTAAATGAATCTGGATTCATGTCCATCTGTCCTGCAGACTCCATGGTGGTGCAGAAGGTGAAGGGACTCCTGTACCGGCTGCTGAAGGTTCCTGCAGCAGATCTGAAGCTCACCTACACCAGCCCCAAGGTCTGTGCTCAGCTCTCCCTACGTTTGGAGGTTCTACCTGAATCTCTGCAGTCTGGAGTTCAGTTTCATTCCCGTCAGATATCAGACCTGTTTCACAGTTTACTGCTCACAGCTGAAGTTACTGCAGATGCAAATACAAACGTTTCCTGCTGCTTCACATTAAAAGCTTTCCTCTTGCCAAGCGGTGGGATGTTGAAGGATGCAGTGTATTTTTAACCAGCACCACTACTCGCTGACGCCAGACAGATATCTAGCATCTGGAGGAGTCAGCTGACTCGACATCCACATCCAGCCAGTGAGAGCAGGCCGCTACAATTTTGATAAAAAATAGTGCTGAACAATGATTAAAATTTTTAATCATGCAATTAATTCCATTGTTACGCACAAAATTGAATAATGAATTCTAAAGTAGTGTTTTGCGCACTTTTAATTTAAATGTACTGCTATATACACAAAAGTGCCATAACATAAACATATAAGGAGCTTTTTACCAGCAGTATTCCCTTTACACAGTAGCAATAAAATATTTCGTTTAAATCTCAACTTAAACATTAATGTAATCGACAAAGCTATTTGCCACTGCCAGGGCATTACCTTTATCTAGCTTGTTAAAACAAGTTAGAGTCCAGAGCCACGATCAAAACATCATAACAGGCTCCTTCTGAGCGACAGGTTAACACATAAATCTGTTTTCAGGGATCAGCAGAAACAGTCTGTGTTCAGTAGCAAGTGTCCCTGTTAGAGTGAGCTGAAGTGCTCGCCTCACGCACTCACCCGCCCACCGACAAAGTTGAAATTTTCTTTAACTTTTTGTACGCGACGTGCAGCACAAATCATTGGAAGAGAGACTGATCCTCGCTGTTTATGAGTTTCCAGAATCTATTACTGTTTACTAAATAGGACACGACATGTTCCCCAATATTAACCAGCATGCAGCGTGTAGCTCTCCACTTCTCTGTGGCGTTTGATCGCTTGTCTTGCTTTTGTTTATCTGCTTCTCCCACACGCTGCATCCAGCGTAGTCTGCTGAAGCCTCCCTCCACTGCTCGTTTGGGTGGCTCTTTATTTTGTGAAAATGTCGTCTGTTGGCTGTGTGGCTTTGTTGTGTTCAAGCCCTCTTGAAACCATTTTATAATAATCATGTTTGACCAGTTGCTCTGTCACATGCAAGTGTGAGCACACACACAACATTTAATACTTAATTATATGTTGGGGAAATGTATCAGAACCAGGGCCCATCCACCTGTGTTGTCACATGTGTTTAAGTATATCGTTATTGCAGTAACTCTCAATATTGTGCAACTTTACATCAAGACAGCATGAACAGCACAGCGACCTGCCGACGCTGAAAGTCGAGAAGTCTGCTCTGGGCTTTAGCGGTGCTGTTCTTCAGTAAAAACGGGTGTAATCCACTAGAAAAGGACACCATGTGGTCCGCAGAAACATACAAACAGCCACAGCGACAGACTCTTACAGTGAGCGTCACACCTCCTGAAGGTGAACAGCTTCACGTGCAGAGGAAACATTCGCTCCATGAGAATACGGCTCAGCTGTCGGCTCGGCACAACTGCCCCACTGTGATAAAACCCCTTAGGATTAGCATAAAACAGTTCTTACAATATAATACTTGGACCCAGTTATGTTCCTGGGACCCAGTTGAGTTCCTGATCAGCCCTGCACCGTTTTCTTCCTGAGCCAACGTACTAAAGTAAAGTTCCGTTTCTTTGTAGAATGTGGGGACAGAGTTTGAGATCGACAGCGACCTGAAGACTCTACAGTTTTACTCCATAGAGGATGGAGACCAGGTGTTGGTGCGCTGGTCCTGATCCGGACCAGGAGGCGAAGGACCAGCCTGGTCCACAGCAGAGACAGAACTTCAGCTGCTTCTGTGTCAGACTGAGATGTAGCAGCAGGCTGCGGACGCTTGCTGGAGAGGACTCAGAGAGGTGGATTCACTTCAGAGTGACGCTCAGACTGTTTAACGCCTGTGTCAGAAATTATACCGCTCGCGAAGCAAATCCAGGATGACACATGTCAGTCTGTCCGCTTGGATTTCCTTCAGGACTTCATTTAGAAACATCACAGAGGAAATCTACAGCTGCACCAACAAGTTTAAGGATTTAATGAATAAATAGACCTTTCACACTTTTTGCTTTGGTTTGAGTCGGGGGCTTCAGCTGTATAACCCGTGTCAGCATTTCAGTGTAATAAACTGTGTGATATATTATCATGTAGTCAGTCTCCTGTGATTTCAAATCAACTAAAAAAAAAACAACAAACAAACAAAAAAAAAACTTGTCAAAGTCAACTTTATTGTCAATTTGTCCATGTGCAAGGCACACACACAGGATTGAAATTTCTTTTCTTTCACACAAGAAAACATAGTTAAACAGTAATTAAATAATTTACAATCAGTGCGACAGATCCTCGTGGTAAAGCGTTTCCTCACCTTTAGGAAGTTATATTGCCTTACTCAGACCATGTGAGACGGAAGCTCTGCAGAAAGCAAGTAAATCAACAGAAATGTTTGTGTTTAGTGGTGCTTAATCAAGTCTACAAACCCAAACTTTAAAACAGGTAGTAGGGCCGGAGGTTTCATTTATTAAAAGAAAGGTGACAATCCGATTTAAAGAAATCTTACTTAAAGGACCCAGCACATTTAGTTTTTTTCAGTTATCAGAAGGTGATCGGTTTCTTCTCGCTACAGGGGACACGACTCTTTAATGAGAAGAAGTAAAATGTAAACCTGAAACAGTTTAGCTGGTCCTGCTGATCGCTGCCTGACTCTGCTGTTACATAAACGGACAAACAGAGCAGCAACACTGAGCTGATCAGTGTTTTAGGATTAAACGGCCACATCCATGTTCCTCATCTTAATACAACTCGCATAGAGACGTTTGAATTATCATTAACTTCAACCAGCAGAGGGCAGCAGCAGCTGTATCCCTCCTTACAGCCCCAAACATTCAGTAAAGGACTAGTACGCTCATTATTACTTCTATCATTTATATGCAAAACATAATTTATGCAAAATCCAAAACAAACCAAACTGAACACAAGCTACTCTGTGAGTGAGATCACAAGCTGCAGAGTGACGTCCTCTTACTGACGAGTGTGCAGGTTTCTGTCTCTGCCACAAGTCTTCCGGGTGTCTTCTATCTCCAGTAAGTGAAACACCTCCATCATTAGTAGTTTCTGATTTAACAAACTATTTTATATTTTTATAAAAAAATCTTTCACTGTCATGTTCATTCAGTAAACGTAAACGTAAACATTATATTTATAACAGTAATAACATCCTGGTTTGGATTTGTGTTAGTTATGATATATGAAATATGATATAACATTTTTATTTGAGTAACAAGCTAAAATATTTTAGTTGCTTACTAATTTTAAATAAAAGCCAAAACCTTGAATTGTTTGAATTTCGCAAGTGTTGTGAAGTTGACTCTTTAGGATACATCTGGTGTTATTCTATATGTTAATGTATTTTTTTATTGGGAAGAAGTTCCATGAAAAGACCAAAACAAATCTTTTCCTCCTGTCTGTTAAAACACTACAGTGACCAGCTGCTTTGAATTTGTGAGCTCTTACAAATATTGACAGTTTTGAGAGATGGACAAACATGTCATCAAGAATTAATAATAATAAAATAACATATAACTGTAGACTTATCCTTTTAAAAATCACTTAATAGAAATAATGGATCCATAGGTAAGAATAATAATACATTTTATTTGTAAAGCACTTTACATTTGAAACAAATTTCAAAGTGCTAATTTTTTAATCTCAGAAAGTACAGAATATTCAAGCAGACATGTTCCCACTGTTTTTAGTTTCTCAGGAAGTGTTGACGTGTGTTTTTTTATTAATTCTGGATCTCTCTTGTGAATCCAAGATGGCTGCAGCCTCCGTCCTCCATGATGGAGCAAACCAAGAGCCACATTTCAAACCTGCAGAGGGTGAGTGTGATACCCCAGACTAGTGATAGAACGATTATTTGGGCCAATATCTGGCATTTTGATATTATCTACTGATAGAGAGCTTAAGCCCCCATGGAACCTTATTTCAGAAAATGTATTTATGGTAGTCAGCAGTGAGAGACAAGTAATGTTTAGATCCCGTTAGGGCTGCACAATAAAACAATAATTATCGCAATATAATTTTTTTTCAATTACAAATGTTAAATAAATATTCAATAAATGTTTGATTTTATCATACACGAATTAGGACTGATTTTGTTGAGGAAAAAGGGTTGAAAAACTTTTACTTAATTTTACTCTGTGGCTCAGGAGGTAGAGTGGATTGTCCGTTAATCAGAAGGTTGGCGGTTCAATCCCCGCCTCCTCCAGGCTGCATGTCGAAGTGTCCTTGGGCAAGATACTGAACCCCGAATACCCTGGTGGCTGTTCCACCAGTGTATGGATGTATATGAATGTTAGTTTCTGTTTGAGCACTTAGGCTCACAGAATGTAAGAATGTGTGTGACTGGTGAATGCGATGTAGTGTAAAAGGTGATTTACACATACGGACCATTTACATTCACTCGTGCATATTTGTTGACAAAGATTTTATCATAATTGTTTTGAATGTTCTACCTCAGATTTGTGAAGTGATCCACTGTTTGGCCTCAAGTGTTGACCATAAAGAAGAGTTTAAACCACAATTAACCGTCAGGTTTCTTCAACTTAAACCCAGGAGCAAAAATCAGCCCTTAAAGAAAAACTGATTTGATACTTATCGTGATAATTATCAATATCGAAAGATATGAAACTTTTCGTGATAATGTTTTTGGCCATATTGTCCAGCCCTAGATCCCGTTTGAATTGTGTCCTGGACTACACACATGATGTTTGTCAGTTTAAAAGATAATTTAAGTCAAGAAAGTCGCAGTTTGTCGAAAAAACAATAAAGCCATTTAATGGACATCTTTCGTGTTGCACAATATACGTTACCATAATGTTAACGCTGTAATGCAAGCTAACATTCACTGCTTGCTTGCTACTAGCTAATTAGCTACAGTATGTTCCACTTACAGATGTAACGACTCCTGGTCCTTTCATCACATCATGTACACATGGAAGGTCACTGACGTTAGCTTTAGTCACGTAAGCATCACATTAGCTTCTATGACGGTAGCTTTGGTTGTCTTAATGGTCAAAATATCGACATTGTCCATTGAAAAACCCGTATCAGTCATCCAATACTCCATACAGAGTATTCCTTTAAGCTGCATCGGAGTGAAACGTGTCACCTCTGACCCCGTACTCCACTGATACAGAGGATGAGATAACAACATGAAACCCAACACACCAGACTGCTTCTGTGTATTCATTAAAAAACAGGTTTTATTGAGGTTGCACAGGCTGTTAATGGCTGATGGTCAATACAGACAAAAAGTACTTCATGTACACAGACCTGACGTGATGTGAAACCAGTCTGCAGGGCTGCACGCCACCGATTACTGCCACTATAGTAGTCGTGGACATTGCTTTCATTATGTATTAAGCACTTGTTAATATTAAATGCCATCAACTGTTAATATAAAATCGTGGTTAATAATGAACCTCTTGTGGTAGTCAATGTGTTGTCGTGTGCAGCCCTGTCAGACTGATCACTGTCCATTCCTGATGAGGTTTCCAAAAAAACCTGAGTGGAGTTTCCCAACGTTATGCTAACCTGCTCTTCACTTCACCTTCAACATGCCGAGCCCGGTGCTGTGCTGCCATGTTATCATTGCTTTCTACATCTGAGACATCGACACTTGTGTTTCCAGGCCGGACTTTTCTTCCTGCTGCTGTAAAAGCTCCAGTAAGTGAACAGTTACAAAGAAATGTGTGGGACATTTCTTTCTTGAAATGAACGTCGCCTGTCGCCAGTTTTGCTGAAAGACATTTTGGCCTTTTGAGATAATATTTTGTAAACAAACCAGTAATGTCTTAATCCCTTAGTGAAAATAAAAGTCTAATTACTTGGATGCTGAAAATATTTGTGGAGGAAAATGTTTTGGTGAATAACACACCAGGGATACTCCGGGGAAACTAAAAAATGTTTTGGTTGCACATCGACATGGATGATTTTTGGAAAAGCCACACACCTGTCTATATAAGACCTTACAGCTCACAGTGCATGTCAGAGCAAATGAGAATCATGAGGTCAAAGGAACTGCCTGAAGAGCTCAGAGACAGAATTGTGGCAAGGCACAGATCTGGCCAAGGTTACAAAAAAATTTCTGCTGCACTTAAGGTTCCTAAGAGCTCAGTGGCCTCCATAATCCTCAAATGGAAGACGTTTGGGACGACCAGAACCCTTCCTAGAGCTGGCCATCCGGCCAAACTGAGCTATCAGGGGAGAAGAGCCTTGGTGAGAGAGGTAAAGAAGAACCCAAAGGTCACTGTGGCTGAGCTCCAGAGATGCAGTCGGGAGATGGGAGAAAGTTGTAGTAAGTCAACCATCACTGCAGCAATCCACCAGTCGGGGCTTTATGGCAGAGTGGCCCGACGGAAGCCTCTCCTCAGTGCAAGACACATGAAAGCCCGCATGGAGTTTGCTAAAAAACACCTGAAGGACTCCAAGATGGTGATAAATAAGATCCTCTGGTCTGATGAGAACAAGATAGAACTTTTTGGCCTTAATTCTAAGCGGTATGTGTGGAGAAAACCAGGCACTGCTCATCACCTGTCCAATACAGTCTCAACAGTGAAGCATGGTGGTGGCAGCATCATGCTGTGGGGGTGTTTTTCAGCTGCAGGGACAGGACGACTGGTTGCAATCGAGGGAAAGATGAATGCGGCCAAGTACAGGGATATCCTGGACGAAAACCTTTTCCAGAGTGCTCTGGACCTCAGACTGGGCCGAAGGTTTACCTTCCAACAAGACAATGACCCTAAGCACACCGCTAAAATAACGAAGGAGTGGCTTCACAACAACTCCGTGGCTGTTCTTGAATGGCCCAGCCAGAGCCCTGACTTAAACCCAATTGAGCATCTCTGGAGAGACCTGAAAATGGCTGTCCACCAACGTTTACCATCCAACCTGACAGAACTGGAGAGGATCTGCAAGGAGGAATGGCAGAGGATACCCAAATCCAGATGTGAAAAACTTGTTGCATCTTTCCCAAAACGACTCATGGCTGTATTAGATCAAAAGGGTGCTTCTACTAAATACTGAGCAAAGGGTCTGAATACTTATGACCATGTGATATTTCAATTTTTCTTTTTTAATAAATTTGTAAAAATTTCTACATTTCTGTTTTTTTCTGTCAAGATGGGGTGCTGAGTGTACATTACTGAGAAATAAAATGAACTTTTTTGATTTTTGGAAAATGGCTGCAATGAAACAAAGAGTGAAAAATTTAAAGGGGTCTGAATACTTTCCGTACCCACTGTATCTGTATTGGTGTGTATAGAGTCCATCCCCTTCCGTTGGACCACCATGGGACCTTATTTTGGAAAAATATACGGAAAAAATATGTACGGTGAGACAACTAATGTTTAGATCCCGTTTCAATTGAGTACTGAATTACACGCGTCAGTATTTAAAGATCATTTAAGTCAAGAAAGTTGCAGTTTGTTGGAAAACTGTTTGAAGTATAAGACTGAAAATACGTAATTATAAAGACCACAAAAGTCTCATATGTGACGTCAACTGTTTCACTCAATGATTCAAGCTAGCATCACTGAAGCTAGCTTCACTGTAGCTAATGTCACTGAAGCCAACGGCATTTAAGCTAACGTCATTAAAGCTAACATTACCAAAGCTACCGTCACTGAAGCTAATGTCATTAAACCTAAAGTCACTGAAGCCTGAAGCTAACTTCATTGAAGCCAGTGTTAGTGAAGCTGACGTCACTGAAGCTAATGTGATTAAAGCTAACATTACCAAAGCTAACAACGCTGAAGCCAATGTCACTGAAGCCTGAAGTTAACGTAACTGAAGCTAACATTACCGAAGCTTATGTTACTGAAGCTAATGTCATTGGAGCTAACATCGCTGGAGCTAACATCACTGAAGCTAATGTCAATAATCTTCCATGTGTAGATGTTGATGAAAGGACCGGGAGGTTTGGATTAAACACATCAGGTCAGATACATCTATGTGTGGAACATAGCTAAGTTACCTAGCCAGTAGCAAGTAAGCAGTGAACGTTAGCTTAGCATTACAGCGCTAACATGTCAGTGACGTATATTGTGCGAGACTAGAGATGTAGTTCATTAAGCGGTTTCACAAATAACAAAATGTTACTGTTTTATGACAAACTTCGACTTTCTTGACTTAAATTATCTTTTAAACTGACAAACATCAAGTGTGTAATTCAGGACACAATTCAAAAAACATTAGTTGTCTCTCACTGTTGATTAGCGTACATTTTTTTTCTGAAATAAGGTCCCATGGGGTAGAAAAGAGGGTCTCAGGCTCTCTAGAACTTTTTACACTGTACAATATTAACCGCTATCTTAGTCACAATTCTTTAATGATTGGCAAGACTTTCGATGTATGTTCTTTCTAATGAAATTGAGATAGAATGTTTAGAATGTTTCAGAATTTTTAAAATCAATTTCATAATGGTTGAAAAGTTTTATTAGAAATCTGATTTTGTTTTAATATTTGCAGTTAAAGACGTCCAAGGTTTTTGTTGTTGTTTTTTTATTTAGTTTTTGATGAAAACACTGACTTATATCAGCGCCTGGAACTAATCAACAAGTCTTCATTGTAAAAAAAGAAAAAGATGTTTACATGAAAAGCACAATACAGGAGCTACAACCCAACCAACATGAACTTGGTCTTTACCTGCACACACCTTCACAGTAATCATCAGGTAGAGCTCAGGCTAACATAAGCACAATTCAAAAATCAGAGAATATCATCTGCATATCAAGTAATTATTTACAGTTTCATATAAAAAATACAATGTGAGTCTTAGCACAAACAACAGAATAAGTATTAAAAGTTTTTTTAGCCCTCAGTAAAGTCTTACAGACCGCAGGCTCATGGTGGCGCTGTTACTGCAGAGTTAACTCACAAAAAACTAAACGTCAGTTTAGAAAACATCTCATTTTATCATATAGGTTTGCTAAAATATAGGGTAATTTCAGATTGGTAGTTTTAAACATTTTAAAAACTTACAAAATTGAAATTTAGTCTCCAGTTTGACTGTAATTCACCTCATCACAAGTTTAACAGGCCTCTGATGGTTAGAGCTTGTTCATTAATCGATTAGTTGTCAACTATTAAATTAATCGCCAACCATTCTGATAATCGATTAATTGATTTGAGTAATTCTTTAAGAAAAAAAAAAGTGAAAATTATCTGATTCCTGCTGCTTAAATGTGAATATTTTCTGGTTTCTTTCCTCTGTGACAGTAAACTGAATCGCTTTGGGTTTGTGGATAAAAAAAGACATTTACGGACGTCATCTAGGGATTTGGGAAACAATGATCGACCTTTTCTACTATTTACTGGATATCTTCTGCAGCATTTTCAGACTTTGACTGGACGGGAGGGGGAAACGTAGCAGAAGGTCTGAGTTTTATAACAAAAACGTAGTAGTGTGGATGGAGTTTTAGGATGAATTCCGAAAGATCACTCTGTAAATCGACGACGCCTGCCCTCGCCATTGATTGTAGTTTTCTTTTCCTACAAATGTCTCCAGTCTTCACTTAATAAATCTGGATTAACTCTACAGACATTTGTTTTCCTGCATTCTTGTGGCTAATTTGCCAAACTGCTTTTTCACTCTTGAACTCACTGAACAGTTGTTAAATTAAATTCATGCCACAACTCTCAAGCTAGCCTTGGAGCTGATGTGATCAGATTTACCTCCAGAAGCCCGTTGGCAGATCGGTATGATTGTCATGTTGTTGTAGATTTGATTAAGTACGAGATGACTGATCACAAAAGCTCTCACTGGTTTTTCTGCAGAACAAAAATGTCATTTTCAGGAATATTTAAGGCACTTTTCCCCTGTGGGAACCTGCTTCCCACAAGTATTTGGTTGCTAGAATAACACCTGATTGTTTTTACCTTTCAGACCACATCTATAGAAATCAATAAGGAGCAACTACTTTTTAAAATACAATAAAAACTCTGAACATGAAGTTCATTGTTCAGAAACATTTCAAATAAAAAGTGTTTTTAGGTCACCTGCTGCCTTTTTAGAACGTCCCTGTGTCAGAGTTAGTGTTACTTTGGTATAAAACAACCTGGAGTCAGATTATAAAACTATAAACTATGTCTGAATTCAACAGTTAACAGGAGGAAGCTGGGCCTGCTGAAGTGTGACATCATAAATACAGTGAACAGCTTTCAGGGTCCAAAAACACCTAAAACTGTAGAAATGATCGTACAAATGTTCAATTCAAGTAAGAAAAGTAGAAAAACACCATAAATTCAGTTAAGTTTGTCTTGTTTTTTTTCTCTCCAAGCAGCAGCAGTGTTATCGTTGCCTCACAGGTTCCTCTCCTCACAGCGGCCGGCGGTGGTGGCGGTAGCGGTGGCGGCGTCTGGGCAGCGGCAGGTGAACCCGCCGAGCCGCGGCAGGCACAGGTGAGAACAGCCGCCATTGTTGGAGCAGTAGTTGTAGGCTAACGGGGGGAGAAGGAAACAGTGTCAGTTGTTAGTACTAAAGTTTGGTTTCTGTCAGAAAGCTGCAGATGCATCAGCCTAAAATATAAATAATAGAAAAAATTATAATAATCACATCTAAAGTTCATTAACCTTACAAAGAGGTTCGATCAATTGATTGGGTCTATAAAATGTCAGAAATGTCAAACAATGTTTCCCAAAGCCCAAGAGGACGTCCTCAAATGTCCTGAATGAAAATATACCATAAAATATTCACATTTAAGAAGCTTAATCAGAGAATCTTTACTATTTTTTTCTTTAAAAATTACTCAAACCAATTAAATACATTATCACAATAGTTGCTAACTAATCAATCAATCGACTAATCCTTGCAGCTCTAGTATCATGATGTTAACTGAGCCCACAATAGCATGCTAACATGCTAAATGTTATCATTTTCCAGAGCTGCAACACATAATTGATGAAAAGAAAAACAATCTAAAACTTTCTTTGATAATCGATTAATTGGCTAAAATGTTAGTTCCCCGGTTCTCAATTGTGAGGATTTGCTGCTTTTCTTGATCTTAAATTTTAGTAAATGTAATTATTTTTGGGGTTAAAGACTGGTGGCAAGACATTTGATGATGTCACCCTTTCACTCTGGTATTATTAAGACGGGCTTTCTGATGCTTTACAGACCAAATGATTGAGAAAGTAATCTGTAGAATGAAAACTGAATCAAACTCACTCTGCAGGCCTCAACGCTCAATTTGTTTGAGTTTTTGTTTGAGTGTTCACATTATTTTGGCCCGTCAGACTCCAGTCTGAAGTGGCCACGGCCTGAAAGAGACCCGCATGCTCAGAAGAATAATACGACGTCACATGGAGGCCACAGAGGTCAGCGTCTACGGGTTTATTTTTAAGTTGATTTCAGGTGTAAAGATGGGAATTCATTAGCAAATGATGACGAGGACTAGGAGGAGGAGAGACACATTTTTAATTATAGTGGGAAAGATCAGATTCAGTGTGACTGGGGCTGTTCACTCTTAACAGCAGCTGCTAGACTTCACCAAACTGAGAAAAGGGAGGTGTTAGTTTCTGGTGATGTTGATCACTAAACATGCCGCAGAGTAAAACAGAGACGTCAGGAAGTAGATGAACAGCTCATCATTGTGAACTGAAACCCATCAGCATTACTTAGAAACCAGCAGGTGGACACTGACGGCTGTATGGGCCCAGAGCCAGATGTGAGTCTCCATATCCACAGCTGCCCCCCCTCGTGGTCACTTCACCCCGCAGTTCCCACGCTTACATCCCTCTGCATGCTATATGCGCCTGGAATCGATTACTACGGTCACCGAGTACATTATACTGCTCGGATCCCACAGAGCTGTTCTGGGGCCTGGTCTTTGTGGGGAACTGAGTTTGTTTGATTTGACATGAGTCAAACCTGCAAATGTGCAGCTTATTCACAGTCAAGACTTTTTAGGGTGACTTTTTAGGGTGACTCTCCATTTATGAACCCATTTTCAAATACCGGTACATTCAATGAACATTAACACATGAAAATCAAAACACAATGCTAAAAAAGTCACCTGTCTGTCATTAGGAAAAACATAACAACTGCAGATATATTACAGTGGGTAAGTCATGATTTTTATTTTATTAATTTCATCAGTGCACGGTCACATCTGTCTGCACAACACGCATGTTGGATGTTGAATTGAATTTCTCTCCACTGTGGCTGCCTGAAGCTACACTTTCCCTGTCCTGCGACTTCCACAAGACAACAAAAAGGGGAACAGAGCACGAGTGTTACTTTGTGGCTATAACAAAGCCGTAGACACAGTAAAGATAACCTGCAACCCCTGCTGGAGCAAGAGAACTACACAACGATCAGTATTTAATGATTCATTAGGCTGTAATCAAAAACCATGGTAAGTCAAATTTTCGGGACAAACCGGACTGGAGTCGGGACAATTGCTCGTAATTCGGGACTGTCCCGAATTTTCCGGGACGTCTGGTCACCCTAACAGAGCAGATGAACCGGGCAGGAAGTCAGACATAGAACGGCATAGAGAATCCGGTAAATTTTCAAAATAAAACACCCTTTGCAGACTCCCGATCGTACATAAAGAAAAAACACAGTTAAAACAGACAAAGGAAAGAAATAATTTAACTACGTAGCTACTTAACTATAGTAGAAGCACAAAAATAAAGGACAACTGAACAAATAAGCAAAATCTGAACAAGTCAGCTAAATCAGCCAGGCAAAATGCTCTTATTCTGAAATGCTCCATGTGGATATGTAACATTAGCCTGCAGAGAGCGGAACAGAACGGGCTCACAGAGAGCTGTTATCTGTAGTTGAAGCACACAGAATGACAAATTAACGTGTAGGCTAAACGCTGCGCTGCTTAAACACTTCAGTCTGAGTTGATGCCGGAAAAAGATGCGGCATAGCCAGTCTGTTCGGCTGACACCATGATCCCACATGTTTTCCTATGGTTTTGTTTGTTGTTGTAACATGTAACATTTTAATCGCCGCCTTCACGATTAGCTAATCGCGTTCCATCAAATCACAATTATCGCAATAATCGTTCAGCCCTACTGCACTTCTCAAGCATGATGACCCTGCAGCAGCTTATTATGACCCATATTTATGTTTCCTGTTAGGCCGTGACCTCTCGAGTCAGAAGAAGTCAGGTGACGTAGTATAAAGTGCGACAAAATCCATGATTCCAGCTAGCATAGTGCAGCCCTGATTGATCCAAACTCCATTCAGAAAACAAACATTTTTAAAGTTGTCCTGCTGTCTTTCTGACAGACCTGACAAAGCATGAATTCATTTGTTTAACAAATCTGCATCATGTTGTAGTTTTTTCGGCATCAGTTTGATCCATTTATTGCTATTTAATCGTAGCAAAATGTTTATTTTGGTTTCACACTGCTGTATCGCAGGTTGTGTTTATTCACTTATTGTGTTTGGCAACGGTCCAGCGAATCTGCGTTTGGTCTGAATGCACAGTAAGAAGGTGGTGGGGTGGATGAGTCAAGTAAACTCAGGACTTTCTCTCAGGAGACCGAGGTTCGAGTCAAAGGTGACATGTTTTAAGTTAAATAAAGTTTTGTAGATTACTTACGTGATGTACTCTCCACAATCTGTTCCTAAACCCAACCCAGTGGTTTTGGTGCCTAGACTAACCAAACTACAACTTTTTTTTACAACGTTCACCACGTGTTAAACATCACGTGACTTACACAACGTACTGAGAAGTTCCAGTACACCTCTTACTGAACCGGCACTTGCCAACGTTTGCACATGTTTTTTTGGGCAACAGTCTTGTATGTTGTTTAGTAGAGACTTTAAAATCAACCTATTTAGTTGTTCAGCTGTGAGGTCGTGTTGTTCTAAACCGATCTGCTGTGTGTATCTGAACTGTACCTTGTGGACACTGCGTCGGTGTCGTGGTGATGCCGTACAGCCGAGAGCGTTTCTGTGGCAGAAACTCCCCCATCTCTTTCTCCAAGTGGCGGTCCACAGAGACCACCGCCTCCCTGAAAAAGAACCACAGAGACCACACGCAGATGTTTGATGAACACACTTAACTTTAATGTGACAGTTCCAGTCAAACAACGCAGCGTTTACGGCACAGCAGGACTGTTTATTTCACATCCACTCAGCCGGTTAATGGACGTGTGACTGAGGTTTGTGGACAGCTTCATCGTAATCATGTTGACGACGAGGTTCACTCTGTAATGCCGCTGTACAGTCAGAGGGAACGTACACTAAACCATCAGCTGACTTCAGCTCAGGTCCAGGAGTCACATTTCATTCATATTATATCTGGTCCGTTTGTTAAAATATCCACCGTGTCCACGTATTTTAATGTAAGACCACATAATGTCTCTCCCTGTGTTTCTCTGCCAAATATACATTTGCTTACTGTTAACACACCTGGGTGGTCCGCACAAGTAAAGTCTCTGCGGGGAAACACAGCTCATTTTACAAACTGTGAACTCATGTGACCACATGTTCATCTCACTATGTAGACGGAGCATCTTTGGCACAAACATGTTTTCATTTCTCTCAGGTTGAAGCTGCAGGTCGTGAAAACGTTCTACCTTCTGAGGCAACAGATTGAGTTTAAGAGTCTTTGAGTTTTAGTTCTTTACTTACTGGCCCTCCCTCCAAAAGTTATTTATCAGTGTTACAACAAAACCAAAGACTTATAAGTTATGTTATACTGTTAACATGTTTAATCGGTTATTAAATACATTCTGGATATAAAAAAAAACTAAACTAAAATGTAATCAAGGTCGCCATGGTAGCGACTTGTCAGTCACCTTGTAGCCCCGCCCTAAAGCCTCCCCTGCTTCCTGGTCTCTGTTCCTCTAAATGGGACCATAATTTACTAAATGAACATCATGCTGTGTTGAAGAAGACTTGAAACTAACGACTGAGACCATAAACTCATCAGGAAAGTGTTTACTAGTGTTTACTAGTGTTTACTCCCGACGTTACTTTTTACTGGTTATTGTCGAGCCCTGGTATGTTTTTGTGTGTTACCTCCTCCAGTCAGTGTAGTAAAGGTTTCTTCCAAAGGAGACGAGGGCGAAGGGATACTGGATCCCGTCAACGATCGTCCTCCTCAGCCTGCGGTGAGGATCCATACACTCAACCTTACGGGTACCTGCAGACCCAATCAGTCGATCAATCCATCACCAACAGTGAGGAACGCATGAGTGGGAATACACCAACACATGAGATGACACTCAGGTTCCTGTCACGTGTGTCTCACCTGCGTCGGCCCAGCAGAGCTGCTGGCTGTCGAGGTCAAAGGTCAGACCGTTGGGGAGCCCCAGGTCGTCTTTCACCAGGACAGTCCGATCTGTCCCATCCATGTTGGACATCTCAATTTTAGGCCCGTCTCTGTTCCAGTCTGCCCAGTACAGCCGCCTGCCGGACAAAACCAGTCAGACCATCATCATTACCGCTGTTCCTGCTTCTGTTCAGGTTCAACGATCACGTTTCTTCTCCTCTGGACTCAAACCAGGAGTTCGGTTTTTAAAACTCACCCGTACGCCGGGTTTGTGACGATGGGTCGAGGGTTGATCAGATCGGTGTCGAACAGGACTCGGCGCTGGCTCCCGTCCAGCTTGGAAACCTCCACGGTGTCACGCATGGAGTCGGTCCAGAAGAGGAGACGGGCCACGTGGTCGATGGCGATGCCTTCAGGACTCTGGAGATCTGAGGAGGGAAGGTTCAGACACCGTTCAGACTCTGAATCAACCCCATCAGCTCGCCCCACCGTCACACACTCTGTCTCTGATGATCTGGACTGGACTTATTTTGTTTTCTTTTAAGGTAAATGTGGTACCTGGTACTATTTCATGGTACCCTATGAAATACGTCAATTTTTTTGCAAGATTCTGTGTTTTCCATTCAAAATTGTTTTAGCGCACATCCTTTACAAACCTGACCAAACATATGTTTTTAATTTTTTTTAATCGATTATCTGACTCCGCTCACACAGTCACGAAATCTTGGATCTTGCGTCTTGTATTTTCCGATGTGGTTTCACTTCTGTGAGTTTGTTAGCTGTTGCTACCGTGCCGTCTTAGATATGACAGCGTGTGTGTTTGTGTGGAGGAGCTGCTAAGCTGAAACACACAGACAGGACAGAAGTAGCACCAGTAACCACCAGAACAACGCTGCGCGACTAAAGTTCAAGACTTTTGAGGCAACGAGTGAGAAGCAAATTCCCTGCGTTTGTGTGTAAAAAACGCTTGATCTCGCACGCCTGTTTTTTGGGGGGGACGTAGCCTATTTATATATATTTTCGTCATTCTTTCAGGGGGGGCCGCCCCTTCAAAACAACGGTAGGGGAAACACTGGGATTCCTTCTGTGTTTCTAAGGAGGTTTCTACCGGGAGCCCAGTGACCACAGAGGTCGTCTCCTCTCCAAAACAAACGGACCCGCTCATTAAAACATTAAAGACACTGAATAAAGAAGTTTCATCCTAATTTAGTTGTCTCTCTTCAGCAGACACTGGGCGAGACACACGAGCTGACATTTTGAAGGGGTTATATATCTGCGATGGAAAACTGAGGACAGGGCGGCAGGCGAGTTCAGCTGGTAACATCCGTAACGTCAAGGGGCTTAAATATTGTCTCTGGATGTAACTTGCAGGCTGCAGATCTGAAAGTGACTTCATGTTGTTTTCATTCCCTGCTGTAGTCCTTTTGCGTCCGGTTTACCTTTGGTTACGACTGGGATGATGTCTCCTCCGCTCAGACTGGCCCTGCTGATGGCCGGCCCGGTGATGTCGGTCCAGTAAACCATCTTCTCCACGCAGTCGTAAGCCACAGCGATCACCACCCGGTCCTGAGAGACAGTAAGAGACAGAAGCTTTCATTCATCTGGAGACCCCCTCAAAGAGTCTTTTGTCTGAAGTGACAGGGCGTCAAGAGACTCGATGCTGACGGAGAGCTTTGTGTTCAGCTGCAGCACATTAACTGCTCTGAAATCTGTTAAAGAACAATTAAAGGGTTGTTTCAGAGCGACCAGGAATGCTCAGAAGTGGTTTAACTGCTTTCAGGACAAACAGTGACTCTGTGTGACTCGCCTTTAATATCTATACACGAGGAATTAATGTCGTCACCAGAAAAACTCTCCGAAGCAAAGATCGTTCAGTGTTTACCCCTAACCCCTTCCTGACAGGAATAATGGCAAAAACAACCGGAGAAAAAAAACAGAGTTTTGTTCATTTTCCCCTGAAACGAAGATTATTGTTGAAGGAAAAGTCTCAACATTTTGGACGATTATCGATGACAGGACATTCTTTTGATGACAGGACATGTTTATCTTAGCAAAGACTGGATGCAGGGAGAACCTGCTTGCCTAGCTCAATCAAAAACCTCCAGAGTGAGGTTGGATATCGAGACTTGTTTCTAAATTTAGGAGAAACATGGATTTCTTAAGAAACCTGCGTCCTTGAAAGCAGAAAGCTCGGAGCTTATGTGCTGAAAGTGGCGCATCTTTTTAACCGTGCTCGCAGCATAGCTCTATGGATGGCCGTGTTGGTCCATCACGTTGGTCCAGACTGAAATATCTCAACAACTATTTGATGGATTGCCATGAAATCTTGTTACAGACAGTCATCATCCCCAGGCGATGGGATCCTAGCGATTTTGGTAGTCCTTCGACTTTTTCTTTAGCGCTACCAGCAGGTCAAAGCTTTAAAGTATCCAGTGAAATATCTCAACTAGACAGAAATTTGGTTTAGACATTAATGCTTCCTATTGTCACTGTGAGCATGTTAGCATGCTGGTGTTAGCATTTAGCTCAGCTCAGTACAGAACAGCCTCAAAGCGTGGCTGTAGACTCTTCTTCTTGTTGCTGAATGTTCTGGTTTCTTGTCTAGTTTATGTTAAATGTAACACAACAGTTGATAGGGCTGGACAATGTGGCCAAAAATGTTATCATGATAAAAAGTTTCATATCCTTCGATATCGATAATTATCACGATAAGTATCAAATTGTTATTTCTTTGGAGTTTAAAGGCTGATATTTGCCCCTGAGTGAAAGTTGAAGAAACCTGATAACCATCAGTGGTTTAAACTCTTCTTTATGGTCAACACTTGAGGCCAAACAGTGGATCACTTCACAAATCTGAGGCAGAACATTCAAAACAACTATTTTAAAGTCTTTGTAAACAAATATGCACGAGTAAAAACTTTTTTCAGTTTCAAAATTCCTAATTCGTGCATGATTCAAGTGAAAAAAGTCAAACATTTATTGAATATTTATTGAACATTTGTTATATTGTTAAAAAAAATGATATTACGATTATTATTGTTATTGTTTTATTGTCCAGCCCTAGCAGTCGATGAGTTCACCTTCACAAACGGACACAATCAGTTCACCAAAAACATGAGCATGTTCACTGATCGGTGCTGTTTGAGCATGTTTATGCACAAAACTGCCTGTCTGTGCTGTCAGACTTTCACATTTGCATAACACTGTACATCCTCCCACGTAGTTGTTGTATGTGGATGTGTAAACAGTCTCTATGTACCCTGATTCAGAAGATGCAAAGTCCTTCGTCTGTGTTAAAAATAAAAACGCCTCTGTTGCCAAATATGGCCATGCATCATTCATTAAAAGAGAGCTATCTTCCTTCTGCTTTCTATCAAAGAAATAGTTTCAACACTTTTGGGGTCTTAAATGATGTTTGTTGGGTACGTAAAACATCTCAAATTGAGTTTGACTGTTAAAATGGTGCTAAAACCCTGAGCTAGCATTTTTTGTGTTTTACAACAAATTCCTATAATTCTTTTCACAACATCCATCTTGTTGTTTTCCAGGTTTAAAAGGGTTAATAACCGCTCATTAAGGCAGCACTTGTCAAGTCACCTAAAAGATCTAAAACCTGTTGGTGTTTTTAGTGGCGAAATGTAATCTAACGTTGTCTTACGGGGATGTGCAGCAGAGGTTTGGCCTCCTCCTTTGTGATGTTATATCCGTTCAGAGGGACGTGTTCGATCTTTCCGCTCTGAGCGAATAGCAGGTGTGTTCCCGCAGTGACAGGGTGGACGTCGGGCCGCGGCGTCGGACCCACCGGAGGAGGAGTCACTGCATGGTCAATACCTGCGTAGGAGAGGAAAGGTCATTGTTCAAGTGAGGCAGACTGTATTCCTGCATCCCTGAGACGACAAACAGCATGGAGGTAGAGGTATAATAATCATGACTCACATAGAGCAGTGCTGCCGGGTCCGGTCCGGGTGTTGGGGATCTCCTGGCCGTTGGCATCCACACACCAGCACTGTCCGATGCTGGCGTGGCACTGCGTGGGCTGGTAGGCTCCATGTTCGTCACACTGAGGGACATAGTGACCGACGGCCGGCCGAGGACTGAAGAAGGAGAAAAACCCGGAGGTGGAGGTGGCGGTCTGGACACTCTCTCTGTGACTCTCACACCTGGTCTTCTCTCGCTCTGCGAACACACACATCTGCAGCTGTTAGCAACATGGAGAGCTCTGCTGAAGGCGAGCGTGGGACTCATTTCAGAATCTGGGTTTAATTTGGACTTCAGAAGTGTTTTGTTTCTGTCAGCACTGATACACTTTCAAAGGAGCAGCTGTGGCTCAGGAGATAGAGCGGGTTGCCTGTTAATTGGAAGGTTGGAGGTTCAATCCCTGGCTCCTCCAGGCTGCATGTTAAAGTGTCCTTGGGCAAGATACTGAACCCCGAATTGCCCCTGGTGGCTGTTCTGCCAGTGTGTGAATGTCAGTTTCTCTTTGAGCACTTAGGCTCAGTGTGTGAATGGTGAATGCAGATGTACAGGTGCTGGTCATATAATTAGAATATCATCAAAAAGTTGATTTATTTCAGTAAGTCCATTCAAAAAGTGAAACTTGAATAATGTATACATTCATTCCACACAGACTGATATATTTCAAGTGTTAATTCCTTTTAATTTTGATGATTATAACTGACAACTAATGAAAACCCCCAAATCAGTATCTCAGTAAATTAGAATATTGTGAAAAGGTTCAATATTGAAGACACCTGGTGCCACACTCTAATCAGCTAATTAACTCAAAACACCTGCAAAGGCCTTTAAATGGGAAAGGAAAAGATGTGGTAGAAAAAAGTGGACAAGCAATAGGGATAACCGCACCCTGGAGAGGATTTTGAAACAAAAGCCATTCAAAAATGTGGGGGAGATTCACAAAGAGTGGACTGCAGCTGGAGTCAGTGCTTCAAGAACATCTCGGGTTACGTATGTAACCCTTGTTCCCCGAGAAGGGGAACGAGACACTGCGTCGATGACGACACTATGGGAACGCCCCTGGGCGTGGCAGGGCTGAACTATGAATGAAACTACTCCAATCCTATTGGTGTTACTAGAACAGTAGTGTGTGACAGCGTAACCGGAGGGGGTATATAAGCACGCCGACACATTAGCCCCTTTCTATGAAGCAAGGCACTCCAGGCGGGGTGAGGTGTGGTGGACCGACGCAGTGTCTCGTTCCCCTTCTCGGGGAACAAGGGTTACATACGTAACCCAAGACGTTCCCCTTCGAGGGAACTCGAACTGCGACGGTGACGACACTATGGGAACGAGATACCCACTTAGGCCGCACCTAAACCCCGCCTGCCCCCAGCGTGCAGAACCTGACCACGACTAGGAGGAGAGCGCACGGGTGCCGGGTGCAGAAGGCAGGTCCAGACTGTAAAACCAGATAAAAGTGTGAGGGGTGGCCCAGCCAGCCGCATCACACAAATCCTGGAGTGACGCCCCTGCAAGGAGGGCCCTACAAGCCACCATGCCTCGAGTAGAGTGCGCCCTTACGGCCATAGGTGAAGGCAAACTGCGCACCTGATAGGCCAGGGAAATAGTCTGAACGATCCAGTTGCTGATGGTGTGTTTAGAAGCGGGGAGCCCAGCCTTGGGGGACCCGAAACACAGCAACTGGTCTGCTTTCCTCCACCGGGAAGACCTCAGAGTGTAAATACTCAGCAGATGAAGTCTCCCGTCCTCTGCCGTCACATGAGGTGGGGGATGAAACGCCTGCAGCACCGTGGACCCTGCCAGTCTGGCCGGAACCTTAGGGACATAACCTGGACAAGGGTGCAGGATGGCCCTGACCCTCCCCGGGGCAAACTCCAGGCATGGGGGAGACACCGACAGTGCCTGGAGATCCCCCACCCTCCTCAGAGAGGTGAAAGCGAGGAGAAAGGTCATTTTAAGGGTCAGGTGCTTGGCCTCAGCCGACTCCAGGGGTTCGAAGGGGGCCTCAGCCAGCGCTTCGAGAACCACTGCCAGGTCCCAGGTGGGAACCCTGGAACGTGTCACGGGTCTCATCCTCCGGGCTCCACGGAGGAAGCGCACGACCAGCGGAAGCCTCCCCAAGGGCCCATCACTCAGAGGGGCGTGGAATGCTGCAATGGCAGCCACATATACTTTGAGCGTGGACGGGGAGAGGCCAGCGGAGAAACGGTGCTGGAGGAACTCCAGTATCACAATTACCGAGTAGGTAACTGGGTCCACCGCCCGTTCTCTGCACCAGGTGATGAACACATTCCACTTTAGGCCGTACATCCTTCTCGTGGACGGGGCTCTGGAGCTGAGCAGCGTTTCGACTGCTCCTGTCGTCAGACCCGACTCGATGCGTGCGGGAGACAGGTGGGCCCGCATCGTCGTTGAGTCCCACACCACCCCTAGGAACGCAGTCCGTTGGGCGGGTGTCAGCACACTCTTCTTCGCGTTGAGCCGCAGCCCCAAACGCTGAAGGTGGGCGAGGACGACATCTCGATGCCGAACCGCTAACTCTCGAGACTGGGCCAGGACGAGCCAGTCGTCGATGTAGTTCAGTATGCAGATGCCCTGGAGCCTCAACGGAGCCAGAGCTGCATCCATGCATTTGGTGAACGTGCGGGGAGATAGTGCTAGGCCGAACGGAAGAACCTGATACTGGTAAGCCGTGCCCCCGAAGGCGAACCTCAGGAACTTCCTGTGAGAGGGACGGATGGAGATGTGGAAATAAGCGTCTTGTAGATCTATCGTGACAAACCAATCCTCGGCGACCGCGGGGCCAGTGCCACGAGGGGAGCGCATCCGACCATTCTCTAGGAAGAGAGCCGCTCGAGACCTCAGCACCCTCAGGGGCAGGGCCTCGCAATGGTCGCAGGCAGCCCCCTCGAGAGCCGCCTGAGCATGCGACATCCCCAGGCATGAGACGCACATCCCATGGGTATCACCTTCTGTGATGAAACGCTCACAAGGGAAGACACACTGTCGGAATCGCTTTGACATGATCTTCTGCTGTCTGGATGTCAGGTAGGAAAATGGAGCTTCCAAACATAGCCAGAGTGCCTGCTGAATAGAAAGAAGCTAATGTGTCTTATGTGCCGGCGTGCTTATATACCCCCTCCGGTTACGCCGTCACACACTACCGTTCTAGTAACACCAATAGGATTGGAGTAGTTTCATTCATAGTTCAGCCCTGCCACGCCCAGGGGCGTTCCCATAGTGTCGTCACCGACGCAGTTTGAGTTCCCTCGAAGGGGAACCACCACGCACAGACGTATGCAAGACATGGGTTTCAGCTGTCGCATTCCTTGTGTCAAGCCACTCTTGAACAAGACACAGCGTCAGAAGCGTCTCGCCTGGGCTGAAGACAAAAAGGACTGGACTGCTGCTGAGTGGAAATCAAGGTCCCAGAGTCTTGAGGAAGAGAGGAGAGGCACAGAATCCACGTTGCTTGAAGTCCAGTGTAAAGTTTCCACAGTCAGTGATGGTTTGGGGTGCCATGTCATCTGCTGGTGTTGGTCCACTGTGTTTTCTGAGGTCCAAGGTCAATGCAGCCGTCTACCAGGAAGTTTTAGAGCACTTCATGCTTCCTGCTGCTTACCAACTTTATGGAGATACAGATTTCATTTTCCAACATGACTTGGCACCTGCACACAGTGCCAAAGCTACCAGTAGCTGGTTTAAGGACCATGGTATCCCTGTTCTTAATTGGCCAGCAAACTGGCCTGACCTTAACCCTATAGAAAATCTATGGGGTATTGTGAAGAGGAAGATGCGATACGCCAGACCCAACAATGCAGAAGAGCTGAAGGCCACTATCAGACCAAATTACCCAGACTTTTAGTCAATAAAACCTGATTAAAAAATAGTATACAGTGGACTAAATATGACACAAACTAACAAGGACATTTGACACAGGACCAAGACTAAAACTAAATTTTAAAAAGGCTGACAATTAACACTAATACAAAACACAACTTTATTCACTGGTTTTGGTGAAACTGGATCAGATTTGATGGAGAAAATATTTTAGCTATCTGTCCATCAGGAAACTTCGGAAATCCACACATCCACTCCATCTGTGGCTGACTTCTTAGAAAAGAACCGCTTTGAGTGTTTCTGTCACTCCTCTGTGAGAAGGAGATTAAGCTAGCAGCACCTACATTTGGAGTGCACACGTATTCAAGCCTTTATGGTAACTGAAGCGGCCCAGAGCGAGCTGACAGGCAGGTTAGAGACTTTATCCTGTCAGTTTGTCTCTTTACAAAGACAAGTGCTGCAGTATGAGAGTCCTACTGAAGAGAGGCTGTGAAGTCTTCATGTTACGCCTTACGAGAACCACATACAATATTATTTATCAAACTGGCTCGGACTGGATGGATTTAGTGTGAGGATACACATGTGACAACGTCTGGTTTTTAAAATAAGGCATCTGTGCAGGATGGAAATAAGATTATTTGGATTATATTCACAGAAAGTATAAAACATATTACATGTGGCCATTAAAAGTAAATGGACACATGTAATTTACTTAATCGGACCCTCTCGGGCGTCGGACCCCCCCACTATAGTCTCTCCACATCCTGTGGGACACACTGAGGAAAAAACACATTTGACTGTTTAATTTATGCAGTGGTAAAAGTTAATTTTAAAAATGTGAAAAACCTTGTTCAGTATTCAGGAATGTTCTTCATTATATTAAATTTCTGCCAAGAATTTTCATTTTGGTGCATCCCTAACTTTTACTGTCCTGTTTTCAGGGGAACATTTTTCTAAAATCTGATATTCTTTGCTTTTAAAACTCAGTTGGTTTCTTCTCTCTCATAAGTAGTCATAGTCTTAAAAGGGCCAAGCAGAATTGAGTTTTCTCTGCTGTTTTGACTGTTTTTACCAAGATTGTTGTGCAAACAATCTGTATTTATGGTGACGATCTTGAGTAAGAGGATATAAATATCGTACAAGGTTTGAAAGGTAAGAGAGATGGGAAACCAAAAAAGCAAAACTATGGAAGATGAAAAGTCTGGTTATTCATAACCCATTATTGTTATTATTATTATAAATTATGGGTGAACTAATAGGTTTACCAGATAAATTAACCTGTTTTTATTTTCTATTTAACCCTTTTAAAACTTTTATTTTTCCGTTGCTGTCATGTTTTACATAAAGCACACTGAGTTGACTTGTTTTTAAAATTTGCTGTACAAATAAACTTGCCTCGACTTGACTTTTCACAACGTACACCAAATTCCATTCAACAGTTTTTATTTAAGGCTACAGAATATTCTGCAGCGGAGCTCCTCACAGCTCTACTTTTATTTAACTTTTTGTGTTTTCTTGCATACGAACAGACTTCAGTACGTGGCAGCTGCAGATAAAGAGCTGTGGAGGGAACCACAGATTAAAGGCGAGCAAGAGGCTCTTTATCTCTGCGGTCACATCCAGGGGCCACAGTGACATCTGGAAGAGCCTCCTCACGCTCCTATCCTCCAGGGTATCTGAGAGACGAACCACAAAGCAGCCATAACAGCCCCGTCTGACTGACAGCGGAGTGTCCTCACAGCGCCACGTCTGCTTCCAGCAATCAGCCGAAGAAAAACCACAAACAGCAAGAAGACCCTCTGAGAAGGGGGGCGAAGATCAAAGACCGTCCGAGCAGACAAAAGGAAACAGACGCTGTGACAAGCTTTGACAGGGGACCAAAAAAAGTACTGTACTTTCAGAGGCCAGGGTCATAAAAACAGCAAAAATATGACAGAAGTCTGGTGTGGTGGAAGGAGCTGTAATTAGCTCTCTGACACCTGCAATCACCGAAGGAGTCTGCAGGTTTGGGACGACGTCGAACCACCAACACACAACAACAACAACAACAACAACTAAGCAGGCGGGGAAAGCTACCGCTGTAAACTACACCTGCCGTCAGCCAACCAGGTGTCTGCATGATGACACATCGAAGCAGGAGGAAGAGAACATCAATAAAAGCATTAACAGGAAATGTATTACTTTCACACTTTGCTTTGGTTGCTAAGCTTTGATTAGACAATCATTGTTTGAGGACAGTGTTTCCCACATATAGACTTTACTTGGGCGGACAGGTACAGTAACAGCCGACGAAGAAGACAAGTTCTGTGTCTTTTTGGTGACTTTTGTGTACTGCTGATGGAGAAAGTCAGCAGAGCAGAGAGATACAGGGAGAGACAGGAAGAGCCGGGGCCAGCAGGTGTGTTTGCAGCACAGGTGTAGGTGTGTGCGTGTAAGTAAATACTAAATTGAGGTTAAAGAATGAAGCAGAATAAAAATGGTGAAATAAGAAATGCTAGAAATGGAAAATTTACCATGAGTTTTATCTTATTGTTCTGTGAGTCGGTAACCCTGAACAGATCCGAGGCAGCTGACATGAACCTCAGCTGTGCGCCGTCAAGCGTCTGTTGAGTCTAACGTGAAATCTGTTTACACTCAGAGCGCCAACCTCTCTGCTCTGCTGTCACCTCGATGTTTACACTCTGCAGCTTCCATTCGTCTCTGGCTGCCACACACACTGAAACGTTTTCGTATTAAAGCTCTTTGTCAGTCAGCAGACGGTATATACACTCAAGTACTGTGCTTAGGTACAAATTATCTTTTATTTATACATATATATGTTTGGTTATAAATTAAACTATCCAACAGTTTATAGGAGTACTGCTTGTACATTAAGAGATTGGCAGAAATTCAATTGGTAACTATTTTGGTAATCGATAAGTCATTTTTCATGCTTTTCCTGTTGAATATTTTTATAATTATGAGATTTCGACTGACAAAACATACATTGTGAAGGCGTCACTTTGGGCTCTTGGTAACTATGACAACATTTCTCACTATTTTAAGAATATTTACAATTGATTGATGGAGAAAATAATCAGCAGATTGATCCACAATGAAAATAATTAGTTGCAGTCTGATACAAAATTCTTCAACCTCAACCTTTTACATGAATGCATGAGGAATAATAATCTAATAATCTAATATATAATAGTACAAGAGATCTGAGTACTTTGTCCACCACTGACGGTAGTTAAAAGGACCACTCTGCTGCTTCAACACCTTTTAACCCGTTCATTTAAAACGGTGTAGTTTACACTCCTGCTGCTCAAAGATTTCTCTCGAGCCGGCAGGATTGTTTCAGACAAACAAAATCAGTTTGGAGTCTCTGAGCACACAGGTGTCGGAGCGTTACCTACCTGTGGGGCTGCAGTGGAAGCCGTCGCCGTGGAATCCAGGGTGGCACTGGCAGGAGAAGGAGCCCTGCGTGTTGGAGCAGAAGGCGTCGCGGTGACATCGGTCCTGCTGACACTCATCTATGTCTGAACAGGTGGAAAGAAAATAAAGATGAAGAGCACTGACCGCATCAACCGCCATCTTTGGATGTAGTACCAATAATGTCCACTAGGTGCTGGCTCTGAAAACGAATGTACGACTCGTCCCTCGAAACGTCCATTTGAACACACTTTAAAGTCCTCAGGGTGAACCTCGTTTCAGAGCCGAAATGGTGGACTGACAAAGACTAACATCCGTCCACCGAGCAGAGCAGCGACCAGCTCTTAAACTCGCTAACTAGCATGTTGTATCTGGTGGACCCATTTTCATTCCAGGGCCCAGTTGTTCAAAAAATTTAATCTGGATCAGAATCCGGATTTGAAAATCTTATGTTTTGCTATGCAGCATCAGGTAATCCATCTTACTTTTGTGCTGGTTTTTCAAATCAATGTTGGATTGGATCACCCTTATCCACATACAAACTTTTCAGGATTACCAAATGTGGATTTGGTAATGGGACCACATATCAAAACATAGGCTGTTAATGATACAAAGACCAACAGGTAGAACAGCCACCGTGGGCTCACTTTAATTTGAAGAGACCGAAAACGCACATTAAAAAACAAGTTGTTACAACATAAGTGAAGTCTTTTCACTTCTGATGATTGTGCCTTTGTAATTAATTTACAGTAATAAGCTAAATACATTATTTTAGTTTGATACTGTCAGCTGTTTGTGGGTTTATGTTATGGGGACAAAAAAATTTTTATTTTACTACTATCACTGTAAAGTTTAAACAAATCAAGTGAAAAATATAAATAAATGTTTATATATATATGCTGCTACATGGTAAAATGTTGTATAATTTGACAAACCTTGAAGTTTCATGACATTTTGTTCCAAAAATCCACCCTTAATCCACGCTTCTGTTAGGACCAGGATTTTTTTGGATCCCAATCCCACTTAAAACTTTTGAACAACACAAACTGAAGGTTTGATCCTGATCAAAACCAGCACTGGATTAGGTGATCTGATCTGATTTCAGAAGTTTTTCTTTTGAAAAAACGCATTTTCAAGATTTGATCCAATCCAATAGCTGAAATCCGATCAGATTACTTTTGAACAACTGGGCCCTGGGCGTCACAAATGAACGCCTGGTCAAGACCCCTTGGCGTTGCTTTTTAACGGCCTGGGTACGTGTAGTCCTCCATTTGTCCAAATTGCACTTCTCTTCTAACTTCTAATAAACCATACGACTACTGCTACAACTAACATTACTTCTTTTTCAACAACAAAACGCGCTCTGCAGAGCAGTTTGTCCTTTTGGGCTACTGTATTAACATGGCGGCGCAACATGGCGACCTCCTTGTAAGAGGTCTCGCGGTGTATGTAGATAGAAATGTCTCATTCTAAGGTAATAAAAACAAAACGGTTCATTACGTAAGGTCTTTATACACTACTGAAAGCATAGTTATGGATCTTATATTTCATTTCTGTCAAAAGATCCAAATATATATTTCACACTGGACCTTTTAGGGTTTCAAAAATCCAAACACATTTTTAATATAATAACTAATTTGTATCACGGTGGCGATTTTGGAAATTTAACCAATCAAATCAAGGAAGGACTTAATGAGAAAAAGTTCAGACATCACAACTCTCTTATCAAACAGCAGCATTACAGAACCAGAGTTTTCCATGTGACCTCGCAGAGTTCCAAACTTTAAGCCGGTGCTGCGGGCCCCGGGGACAGGAAATACTTCCACCTGGGGAGGAAATGTCAAACTCTGCCTTACAGCTGTGCAGCTCTTCTCTTATATACACCCCCCCTGTCTGACCTGAAGAATGTTCATTCAGCTCAGCTGGACCAGAGCGGGACGGGTGGACGAAACTCAGCTATGAAGGAATTTCTTTAACATTTCTTTAACAACTCACAAACGCCTGCTGCTCACAGGAGGGTTTTCAGATATTAACCGAAGTTAAAATTGTGGGACACACACAGATAACGACAGATTTAACCAATGTTTAATATTTTAATCTTAAGAACACACGCAGTCCAGACGCAGGACCACACACTCTGCGTTTATACTAAACGATTTCAGAGTGGCGGTAGGGCCCCTTCTCTTCTCAATTTACTGCCAGTCGTAGATCTGTATTTGATGCTCTGTTGATGCTTGTATGTTGTTCCTCAAATGTAAGTCGCTTTGGATAAAAGCGTCTGCCAAATGAGTAAATGTAAATGTAAAACTGTACACATCTACTCTAATACTACTATAAATCCAACACACAATCTTCACTTGCTAATATATCAAGGTTATCTAGGTTAGCTAGTTAGCCTAGCAGCTCTTCCAAGTGTCCAGTTTATTAGGTACAGCTAGCTAAAACTTATGCACTCTAATACCACAGCCCTGCAGCTACTGTGAGGAGAAATGTTTCTAATTATTACAAATAGGCAGACTGTCAGAAGCAGATTGGGTCACATATAATCTAATCTCTTGGATAGCTTGGATTTACTGCAGTTTTGCTTAGATTCTAGAAGATAATAAGGGTGTGCATCTTCACCGGTCTCACGATTTGATTTGATTCTATTCGATTCCTCGATACATCACCTCAAGGGTGGGAATTTCTAGGCACCTCATTACGATTATGAGGCAACGATGCGATTGTAAAACAAAGAGGATAAAGATGTATTTTTCTCACTATGTGACTACTTGGTACTTCTAAAGCAAAGTATTTGTAACAATCCAAACAAGTAGGTAGTAATGAAATGCAGATATTTAATGTTACTTCATATAAATGTAGCTAACATTGCATAGGGGTTGAACTACGCACTTTACAATGCTCCAGCCAAACCACGTTCACTCCACCTTAATATATCTGTTCCTTTTTTTGTCTCGTCTAGTGTAGTTACATCTTTGTGTCCTGTAAGCTGATTATTGTAATCTTGTGTTGAGCACCGTGGGCCTTGAGCAACAGCATTGGGTTCATTGTGTACTCGACATGTGGATGAACTTGAACTAGCAGCCAAAAAGCGTCCTGCTCAGCTTCCAGACCGCAGTCTGAAGAGGAGATGGTCGCTAACGTTAGCGCTGCCGTCACTTTTCCAGCAGTTGGAAAACAACAGACTTTAATAAAGTGACACGCTGTGACCTGCACTGTACATTTACAGCCAGTCTGAAGCGTAACGCTCACGTTTTCCTACTGCCGCCTGTCACGTAGCTTTCCTGTGAAGACTGAGCAGAGGACGCTAGCTGAGCGCTACCGTGCTGCACAGCGTGCGGGTTAAAATAATTGACGCTAGCTGCACATTGACTTTATTGATCATGTGTAAAGTTTAGTAGCAGCAGTCACTCAATCAGCAGCTGTCTGTGCAGAACAGGTAGAACCACACGTCTCCGTTGTGTGCACCGCGCAGATGCTCCGGAGCTGCACTTCTGCATTTGGCATTATGGAGTTTCCAGCGGCCACTAGCGGTGCGGTTTTAAGATTGCAACCAGGCGTGTGCTCGTATGCGTGCTCGCTTGAACTCGTGAGCGATCGAGGCAGATCATCACATGCAGGGAGACAGCTTCACACAACATGCTGGAAACTCAGGTAAACCCCTACTGCAACGTTACAGTAATAGTTTTATCAGCTTGATGTTGAACTAATCCATTTGTTTTACGCTGTTAGTGGACTGCATGTCGTTAGCTGCCGTGTTGTCGCTGTAGCGTGAGAGGCTCGGGAGCGCGCACAGGGCTGAATCCGACCCGGTGTCCTCACATTAAAAGCAGAATAGTGGCTGATGCGAGCAACGGAGAAAACAGGCGTGTGCTTCATTTCTAAGTGACTTTTGAGCCCATTGACAATAAGGCAATGACAATTTGATTTACTAAAATCAAAAACTTACATATATACTTTAACCTCTAAATAATCGATTATGGACATTTGTGAATTGATTCATAATCGTCCAAGTCCGCGTCGCGATGATATGTGAATTTATTACAGCTTTTGATGCTTTCAGAAAATCCTTTTGATGTCCTTTAAACAAGACAACCTGTTTCTTGCTATGTTCTGATGAGGGCTGTAGTTTCTTTATCTGGGAGAAGGTTACTGAGCTCACCGACACAGAGCTCATAAACTCTGTGAACTCACCCCGACACACCCGGCCGTCTCCCATGAAGCCCGGCAGGCAGGAGCAGACGAAGGCCGAGCCTCCGGTGTAGCTGCACAGAGCTCGTTCAGGAGCGTCACAGTCGTGACTTCCTCTCTGACAGTGATCCACCGGGCGGTCCTCCTCTGCAGGACGAGACAGACCACATGTTAGAGCTGATACAGGGCACAGACAGAATCCACAGGACAGTTCAATTCAATTTTATTTATATAGCGCCAAATCACAACAACAGTTATCTCACAGCACTTCTCCTTATCAACTCAAAGGACGTCTTCGGATCGCAGGCCTTTCTGAGTATGTAGGGCATGAGACTGAGCTGAAAAAGAAATTCTGAACTTGATTCAGTTTGTGTCAGAACTTAAATACTTCCTTGGGAGTGTTTGATTATTTCTTCATTGCTAAGGTTTATTTAACGGAACAATCACAAACCATTACTGCACCAGGGATTTATTTTATATCAAAGCTTACTTTCATCTAAAACAAAACATAGTAAAATTTAGTTTTTTGGCACCTCAGGGCCACCGTACATGGTGACTTCAAGGACTGATCCCTGCAGATTTATCAGTTCGAAACACCCCATTTACAGAAGAACAAAACATTTACTGTTCACATCTGCTGGCAGCTTTCAGAACATCTGTATGTGCAACGAGGGACTCGTCAAACAACACACAGCTGTCAACACACACATGAACGTACCGATGCAGGTCTTTCCGTCGCTGGCGAACACGAAGCCGCTTGAACACTCGCAGCGGAAAGTTCCAGGCTGATTACTGCAAACGGTGTTGGATCCGCAGACCTGAGGAGTCTCTCTGCACTCGTCAATGTCTGCCAATAACAAACCAACACAAAGGGGAATGATACATTTACTCAAGTGCTGTTCTTCAGTACTATTTTGAGGTACTTTTTGAGTGCATAAAACTTCAAACAATAGCCCATGCTTTTTTTTGTTTCAGTCGCTGAACTCCCCCTGCCTTTACTTTTATCGTTTGCTTTGTATATTTTATTCTTTGTAAAGCAAGTTTGTTCAGCAGAGCAGCTGTGGCTCAGGAGGTAGAGCGGGTTGCCCGTTAATTGGAAGGTTGGCGGTCCAATCCAATTCCTCCAGGCTGTATGTCGAAGTGTCCTTGGGCAAGATACTGAACCCTGAATTGCCTGGGCTGTTCCACCACCAATGAATGTTAGTTTCTGTTTGAGCACTTAGGCTCAATGAATGAAAGTGTGTGGGTGAATGCAGATGTGTAAAAGCGCTTTGAGTGGTCAAAAAGGCGCTATACGGATTGTTTACATCCTAAAAACGTATTATTCAACAGCACTGGCAGCACTGAGGACCATTTATCGTCTATAAACACATTTATCTCTGAGGCCGTGTTACCGTGGCAGTAGCGTCCGTCTCCGGCGAAACCATTGGTACATTCACAGGTGAACTGGAGGCCTTCGCCCGGTCTGCACGCCGCGTTGATATCACAGCTGTGTCTGCCGGTGAAACATGGGTTCTGCTCTGGAAGGCCGCCTGTCACAAACACAAAGACATCGTCAGAAACCTCGACTCTGGTGAATCTACTGATGTGATTCCACAATATGACCAGTAAGACTGCGCTCAGGACGGCCCGCCAAACGTTTTTACCACCTGCGTCGGATCAGAAACTGGTTGGTGTTTTTATAAAAACCTTGTTAACCGTTCACTTTTTGTTTCGAGGTGCCAGCGGGTCAACTCTGCTCCCCATTTGTACTGAAACTACAGAGATGTAGAAATCACACGCTGCGCGCTGTCCCGCTTTGTTATTCTTCTCCACAGGTTCATCATCACATTCCTCTAACTTTGTCACACTCACAATGGACCGTTTTTCACAAAAGGATCGAACTCGAGGGCGTCACTTTGTGTTGAACAGTGGTGGGGACATAGGTGCTCAGATTAGGAGCGTGAAGAGACACTTAGCTCGCAAGACATCACAATACACAATATTATTTTCATGAGAACGAGACGAAAAGATCCTTAAACAGTGTTTTAAAGATATCCTCAATGCCGAGGTATATGAGTCTGGGGGGACCTCCTGTTTCTCTTCTGAGGCAACACATATACAGGCATGATTCAGTCTTCCCTCCTCTTTTGTCATGTTCACAGGGAGAGAATGGAAAACTTGGCCAAAAAGAGTTGGTGCTGCATGTTTTTGGGTCATTTTAGAATCAGCAGCTTGTTTTTATTCTTCTATATTTTAATTGCATGGAATGTTTTCTTAATGTGCAAATAAACCTTTCTAAAGGTTTATGTGTCACCATAAAAGGTGACACTTTAATGGCTGCGCTCCATTGACTCTAATGCAAAAGAACTGTTCCTGGGGCACCTGTAATAGTTACAGTTCCTACCCAGAGAGGTTGAAAGGAGAAGTAAGATTTATTCTTACTTCTTAATGTAATGTTAGTTAGCTAACGCTAGCTAACTTCCTACTGAATGTAACGTAATAAAGCCCTACTGTTCTGCTTTTTAATGATTGTGAACGAAGGCCTACCCAGCTATTTCTCCGGGGAGTGCTGTAATAGACAGCGGTAGCGCCGTGATAAAAGTCAGACATTTTGTCGGACTTAGCAACAGTAACTATGGGGGGCGTGGCTAAGCAAAGGGTCAATTTTATTTTGTCACTGTTCTGTTGTTTTCGTTGTGATGTATGTTAAGACCCCCTTGAAAACAAGATGGTACATCCTTTATCCTAATAAATAAAAATTTGAAAGAAAATCTCTTTATTTTTTTTTTTGATAAACCAATTAATTCTTTAACCTTCTGAATGTCAACAGATATAAAAAAATGTCCACAACAAGTTCACGTCTTCAAATGTCTCATTTGTTTTTTCAGCTCACAGTGATATTGTCACCTCTGAGAAGCTACAACCAGAGATTGTTTGACATTTTTGCTTTATAAAACGGTTTATTGATTATCTACCAGAGAGTGAAATGACTGCCCGGTCTTGTTCCCATCATGCAGCTGAGCGTTGGAGCTCCTGACCTTCACCTCCTCACAGGAAACACGACCCAGATGTTCCACTTTTTGCCAACAAACTGAGCTATGTTTGCTTGTGTAACTCTGAAGCATCCCATCAACAGCCCCCACCTGCACTTTTACCTTTAACCCACCTCCTGATGCCCTCCCCCCACATCCCTCCCTCTCGGACTGGCGGTTGGTATCTCATTGACCTCGTCCGGCGGCCTTCACCCCCTGCCAACGTTCTCACAGCCTCTCTGATTGCAGCTGAGGAAATACAGCCGGGCTCGGATGATGTTTATCTTCCTCTGATGTTCCACTGCCCACAGGGCCGAGGCACTAAACCGTCGGAGGCGTGTTTCGGTGCATTCCTCTGGATAATAACACGTTTGCTCCGACTGTCCCTGACAGACGACCAGGAGACACAGACGTCTCTTTAAGGAGGACCTGAACACCCTGAAGTCTAAAACATGCACTTCTTTTACAAAAACTCAGGAGAACGCATCACACACTAGTTCAGTTGTAACTTCCTGCTCAGAGGAGTGTGATGTACTTTGTGTTTTTGTTGTCTTTGCTTCTCATTTCTTCAAGCATCTTTATTCAATCAGCTTTTCTAATGTTTTGGCGCTGATGAACTGAAACTCACTGTGGACGGAGCCGATCTTGTTGCTCATGGCGTAGCGGATCAGATGGTTGCTGGCATCGAACATCACAAAGATCTGGTCCACGCTGAGCTGTTGGGTGGATGGCGCCGCCCTGGTGGCCTCGTCATGCGGGCAGCTCTGGAAGGTGATCGTCTGACGCCATTGGTAGCTCCTGGTCTGGAGGCCACCATGAGGGGAGGTGACTGTGTAGTCGCGGTTGGAGGAGGAAGTGATCACTGAGAAGAGGAGAAGAAGAAGAACACACATTAAGATTCATCACAGGCTGAAAACTGATCTGTTCAGGTGGCACCTTGGCCCAAAACAAACAAACTCTTTTTCTCTCTTATTGTTTCTAAATGTAGTAACTTAAAGAAGTTCAGTGGATTGATGACGATGATGTATTGTTGCTTTGGATAAAAGCGTCAGTTACTTGAATTGAATGTAATGTAATTAATGATTTTTATCCATAAAATTAAAATTTACATTATACATTTTATTACATTATTACATTATATTCTAAATATAAAAACTATAAATAGGCAGCAAAATTATACAATAATCAAGATGTCTGGATGGTTAAACATCCTCATATTTCAGTGTTGCTGACATAGTAGCAACTACAATAAAGGATTAAGTAGGGCTGCAAGTAACTAAAGATACGTCTTCAAATGTCTTGTTTTGTCCAGAACCCAAAGATATATTCACAGAGGAGCAAAGAAACCAGAAAATATTCACAGTCAAGAGTAACTGTGTGACCGTTAAGCCTCCTTTAAAGCAAACTAAATAACGAGCGTAGTATCTTGGTTGCCTGTAACAGTTTTTTCATGCTGCTACTTGTGGAGTTTTTTTTTATCATAAATGAAGTAATTTGCAAGAACAAAACAAAAATGGCAATAATACTGCATACCGTTGAGCCACAATAAATCACCACAGGGGAACTTCACCACGACAGCTATAACCCCACATGCTAATGTTAGTTTCTAAATGCTGCACGAATAAGTGGTGAAGACCTATGCTTTTGCTGTGGGAGACCTGGGTTTGATTCCCACTGCACATCCACCAATGTGTCCCTGAGCAAGACACTTAACCCCTGGTGACTCCAGAGGCGTGCAACCTCTCAACATATATAGCAATTGTAAGTTGCTTAGGATAAGCGTCAGCTAACTGAGTAAAGGTAGGTCATAATGAGAACATAATCAAACCAGAGGTGTGAGATGTTGTGCTTATCTGATGTGTTCCTTCGCCTCCAGGCTACCAGGACCGTTGTGAGTTGTCTGATGATGTGAACACTCTTTTCATTTCTACCACCCATCCCATATGACCTGAAGTGAGCATACCAAGCTAACTGCAACACTAACCAAACTCGCCAAAAAACCAAAAGTGTTTAAACGTACAGCTACAGACACTTCTGGTCAGAGCTAATTTAAGTGTTATATACAATATGCACAATCTATTAACACCACAGCGCACAGCGTCATTTTATTGGTTTTAGTTGGTCCTTACAGTTTCTGTCGTACTGGTAGATCTCCTTGTACGGGTTGATCTGGACGGAGGATCCCAGCTCGATGGCGGGTAGACGTCCCTCCAGCTGGGTGCTCACCACCAGGTGGTCGTGTTCGTCGATTCCTTTAAACTGCTGTTTGATGCTCAGACGCTCGTTACCGGGCTGGAAGATCACCTCGGCCTGCCGGGAAAACACACCGCCTGCGTGGACGTGTGAGAAAACATGTGAGCGTCTGAACAGAGTCGAGCAAGACTTAACAAAATACAATGACGAGCAACAAAAGATCCTGGCCGGACTTGAGCCAAGCTAACCTTTAAGCCATTAACTCAATTATTTACATTCAGACAGAGCAACAACGCCGCACAACAACATGCCTCCTCACCAATGAGACTGAAGCCGTTCTGGTAGCCGGGCTGCTCCAGGGCAAAGGCCCAGCCGATGACTCCTCCCATGGAGGACAGCGGCTGTAGGGAGGGGCCCACGCTGTCAGGGATGTTGCTGATAGCCACGTAGGCCCGTCCGTCATTGGCTACCACGTACGAGTGCAAGTCGTGGTTACTGAGCTCCACGGGGGAAGGCGAGTTCCCAACGAACACTCGACCGTTTACCTTTCCATTCATTCTCTGTGGTTTTCCTGGGAAATAACAAAAGATGTGATTAATAAAACAGAAGTTCAGTAGTGCCATTTAAGGATCAGAGCCGCATCAACATGGAGGTAGTTGCTGTGGTGAGGTAGTGATAACCACCAGCACGCTAGCAAGAGACCAATCGCTTCTGGGTTTCCTCTTTTATAGAGAGTCTTTCATCAGCTTTCCTACAAAGCTAAAACAGGAAGTTTTCTATCCATATTCTAAGTAAAAGGTCAATCTACTATTGTTGCTAAAGGCTAAATAAATAATCTCAATATCTGTGGTCAAATATGCCTTGCAAGTACAGTTAGTAGAAGAATACATGCAGAAAACCCTAAAAATAAAAACACAGAGAAGTTATTTACATCACGTAAGTGTCACATGATTACTAGCTGAGCTACTGCAAACTGGCGTAATTGACCCTTCGCTAAACCCCGCCCCCCTTAGTTACTGTTGCTAAGTCCGACAAACTGCCTGCGCTGCCACTATCTTATTACTGCAGAAATATTGTCAAATTTGTTGGAAAAAGTGATCTCAAAAAGAAGCAGACAGTTTTGTAGTTGCATTATACAGTACATTTGAAGGTTGTATTCAGGCTGTTGTTGAGAATTATTTTAGAACATTGCAGCCTAAATTGTTATCATTAATTGCTAGAGCGAAGGTGGTCTGCATTGGCATCATTTAAAGTATTATTTTAGAGTGTAAAGTTAAGATTACAGTGTCAAAACTCTATAGCTATTGTCATCATTTAGAGTGCTATTTTATAGTGTAAAGTTAAGATCACAATGCTGAAACTCTATAGCTCTGAGAGTGTGTGGTCCTCTCTGTGTCTAGCTTCCCGGAGGCAGTAACAGTAGCACATGTGTGTGTCAGCAGGCATGTGTGTAAGGAGCAGGATGAGCACAGCAAGGCATCATCAAAAACCCCAGCAGAGGAAAACGTAGAAGCAGAATTAGTGAAAATTGTGTTACAAAACATACATCAATACAGTAAGAATGTCCTGTCTATAGCGAACAGCACAAGAGACACCAGCTTATTCCACAAAGTCAGGGTTTTGGTTAAAACAGCGTGATCGGCAGAGGGCATGCCTAGGACACAGAGAGGGGGAGCATTGGAGACAAAAAGTTAGACATCAGTCAAGAAACAGTCATCAGTGATTATCCTTAATCAATAATAATAATCTTTGATCATTTTAATCATTTTAATCAGTTTTATTATCTTTAATCAGTTACTTTAAGTAATCATTCTTATATCATCATTTTTAATCATTTCACTAGTATTAATCATTAATCATTCTTATTCATTTTCTTTTTACATAGATATGCTTTAGTTTTTACTTATAAGTAGTGAACTGTAGTCATGAAAACAGATCCTTGAGTGGGAGGAATGACTGCAGGAAGTGGCTGCAGGTGGTTTGTCTTGTCCAGCTGTCATCTACTGTAGATTATGACCACAAGAGAGGCTGCAGGTGTGCAAGATCTGCCAACACTGTGACAGTGCATGCTTTGGTCTACTGTTATCTATTGTTGTTGTGATTACACGAGGAACTGCTGAGGTGTTAATCTGCTAACATTAAGACTATATGCTTAATTACTGATTAAGGGGGTTTGATTGTCAACTTCCAACCTCTGGTTATTATAGCCAGTATGAGCTGTGAGTGAATTTGCTTATGACCTGTGTGAGCTTTGAGTGAACTTGCTGAAGGAATTTATGCTTTGCAAAAACACGACAGAGGATGACCAAAAAACAGACAGACAGATGATAAGCAGAAAGCAGAAAGCAGCCAGCATTAATGAAAAATGCAACTTTACTTATGTTATTCTTATATTAATTGGTTAAAAAATACAATTCTGTGTCAAATTAAGCATGCGTAACCTCTAAAAAACACGGTGAGACTGAAGTTGAAATGTAAATGATGAACTTCTTATCCAGTAGTATAAAGATGTAGAAAGTCTACAATACAGTAATAAATGACAGCTGGGGAACAGTGTTAATTGGTAAAAACAACACAATAACAGAGGAAAAGAAGTTCATCATGAGGAAAGGAGGGGGCAAACCAGCCCAGAAGAGATATATATAAGGCTGTCTGCAGACCATAGGATGGACTTCATCCTCTGGCCTGCTGGGATGTTGTACGGGTTTATGTGTTCTGTTTTGGAATAAACTCTTTTGCACCGACTTTTGACCGTCTCCAGAGAAGTTTTTGACTGCAAATTTATTGACTATAATAGAAAGCTAGTGGAGTATTTTTTGACAAAGTTTATTAAGTTGGTGAAGGTGGGGACCAGGCTTAACTGGCCCAGCCTGGTCGTACATCTGACCCAACACTGTCAGAGTGACTCAAACGGACGAAAAAAATTAAAGCTAGAAGCTAAAGCCTAACGTTACCTATCACACAGTACAAGTGAACCACCGCATCTCCTGACGATTGAGACAAAAGACAACGATATTAAGGATCAACAGTGTTCCTGTACAGCTGGGTAGGCCTCTAGTCATTATTACAATCATTAAAAAGCAGAACAGTAGGGCTTTATTACATAACGTTCACATCACATTAGGTCAGAATCCACAGCCGACATTTTTCTGGATTTATTTTAGGTTTTGGAAAGAGAATAAATCGTACTTCTCCTTTCAACCTCTCTGGGTAGAAAAATACAGCCAAAAAAAGCTAGAAAACGACTCTTTTTGCATTAGAGTCAATGGAGCGCAGCCATGAAAGTGTCGGACGTCAGTTAGAGCGAGTCCTATTCTGCGCTGTGATTGGCCAGCTGTATTCAGGGCGTGGCTTAGCGAAGGATCAATTAACTGAATTTTTGCCAAATGACTGACAGATAGAATCTGTGTTTGCATCTTTCTAGTAACCTCATAACAATTCATGAAACATGGCAACATTTACCTAAACCATGCTTCTCACCTTCTGCGATACAGTCTTTACCATTATCATTTAAGGATCAGAGCCACATCAACTTGGAGGTATTATTGTGAGGGCAATAATCCTGTTGTGAGGCAGTGATAGCCACCGGCATGCTAACAAGAAACCAATGGCTCCTGTATAAAGTCAAAGTCCCGTTATCAGCCTACAGCCTATCAGCTTCTACAAAGATAAAACAGGAAATTGGTATTTTCTGTCCATATTCTGAGATAAAAGCCAAAGGCTTTCTACATTGTTTCTTTGTGCACGGTCGGGGTCGTGTTTAAATTGAAACAGGAAAAGGCCAAACACAAACTGTTGGAAAAACTATTCAAAATGAATATGCTGGAGCTTTAAGATTTCCTTTAACAAAGACCACACCACAAAGAAACAGCCCTTCCAAAAAGAATTAGGACAGGTTTGTCCCAGTAGTGTCATCACTTGATCACTAGGTGAGCCACTAGCATAATTAGCCGAATTTTTGCCAAATCATTGACAGATACGAACTGTGTTTGCATCTTTCTAGACACAAACAACATGACTTCAAAGAAAGAAACAACACTTCAAAGAAAACATGCGCCATGTCAAGTAACACCGAAAAAGCTTCTTACCTTCTGCGACACAGTCCTTCCCGTTACCATAAAAACCAGGCCTACAATGGCAGCAGTACCCGTTGCTGTAATCCCGACAGTCAGCAAACGGCGAGCATTTGTGCCTGTTGTGGGCACACGTCTCCAAATTGTATGCAAATACTGTGAACAACCAAAGAACGAACCAGTCAGCTTGGGTTCAATGAAAACAACAAAACTCAAGAACAGGATTATATGCTATTTTACACTTTGTTCTGAATCCTCAACAAAAGCTCAAAACTTTCTGGGATTTACCGTTGACATTGAGATCTTCGTCTTCGTCTACCACTACGATCTGGGGTTGATGGGGCTGGGAATAGGGTGGCACTGGTTGGACTGGTTCAGGGTTGGTGTACCGTGGTTGAACTGGATCAGGGACAGGGAACCGCCGCTCATTTGGAGAGTATCTAGGCTCAGTGGTTTCAGGTATGGTGTATCTTGGTTGCAAAGGCTCGGAGACCGGGTATCCGGTCTCGGTTTGGCCAGAGTATCTCGGCTCAGGTGTGTCAGGGTACCTTGGTTGAGGGTCGGTGTATGTTGGCGGGACTGTCACAGATTCAGGGTATTCTGGCTCTTTAGTCCCCGGTTCGGCATACCCTGCCGTGATGGTCTCAGCTTCTGGGTAAGTGGGTTGATACTCAGAGGGAGTCTCAGTGGGGTACCCCTCTGTTCCGTCTGGTACCACCAGAGGTTTGTAGGTTGTGAAGTCCCCCTTCTGTTGCTCATCGGGTTGCCTTTGCAACATGGTGACAGGAGGTTCTGTGGCCTCCTCCTCTTCCTCTGGTAGGCTAGACACCATTCCTGGTGTAATGGCGAGAAAGACCGGTGAGGAGCCAATCTCGTACACCCAAACTCCTTTCTGTCCCGAAGTTGTCTTTCTAGTTGGTTAAAAGAAGGAAGAAAAGTCTGTGTTAATGAAAGTTGTGTATCCAAGGAAAGTTAAAATAAAGGGCAACTAGACTTGGTTTACAACATTTCATCCCTTATCCAAGAGACGTCCCTCTCCTCTCTCCTCCTATCACTTCCTGCAGGTTTTCTGGCTCTGGAGCTGTGGAGTCTGGATCTGTGGTTGCGAGTCACCTGCTGCCCCCGTGTTCCTGCTCGACACCCTCTGCTGCAACGACTATTGTTTCTAGTCCTATTGTTATTATTGTTATTATAATCATTAACATTACGATTATTATCATTAACACTACTATAAATATCTGTACCATTTTTCATTTAGTCATTCAGTCTATAGCAACATCACCTTTACGGTCTGTACCTCTGTGTGTATATTATGTAGGCTGCCTCCCTCCCCTCTCGCTCTCCTTTCATCCCCCTCCCTCTTTCTCTCGAGTTTTCTGCCTCTTAAAAGGAAGTTTTTCCTTGCCTCTGTCGCCTAGTGCTGCTCTTGGTGGGAACTGTTGGGCTTCTGTAAATAACATTATAGAGTACGGTCTAGACCTGCTCTTTTATGAAAAGTGCTGTGAGATAACTGTTGTTGTGTTTTGGCGCTATATGAATAAAACTGAATTGAACTTCTTCAGTTCTGATTGACCGGTAGGGAAACTCAGCTTTTTAACCTCTGTGGGGTCGAAAGTTGCGCATGGTCAACTCCCCATCGCATCTATGTTCTTCACAGTGAAAAACATTGCGCTTCATTTGTAACTGCACGTTTAGAAGTTACAGAGTGGCTATGGATTCTACTCATGTAGCTTAAAAATGTAACTACACACCAAGGCGACAGTGATACTATATGGAGGCAAGATCTGGGATTGCACAACTTTGACTGCTTGTGTTTTATTTTACAAGTCTGTGAAGGCGGCGGAGATTGTTGATTGTGACAATAGTGTTAAGGAAGTTGAAAGACACTAAGTTTCCATCAGCCTGTTTTTATGTGCATTTTCAATTTGCACATGAAAATAAAAAAAGGCTAAATATCACAACAACTTTTACACTTGGCTGAGTATTGAAAAGTTAGTTAGGGAATTCTTGGCCGAAGCCGAAACCAAACATAATGAAAAAAACTTGCCGAACACCGATCAAGTTCATTCACATTTTTCCATTTATTTTGGCTTTTTATTTTTTACCATTGCATAACTTAATTAAATTAATAATTAAATAAATAAAATAGTCAAATGTGCTTTTTCCTCAGTGTGTCCCACATGTGAAGAGACTATAGTGGGGGGGTCCGAGGCCTGAGAGGGTCCAGTAAAGTAAATTACATGGGTCCATTTACTTTTAATGGACACCTGTAATATGTTTTATACTTTCTGTGAATATAGTCCAATTAATCTTATTTCTATCCTGTATAGACACCTTATTTTGAAAACCAGACCTTGTCACGTGTATCCTCACGCTAAATTCATCAAGTCCGACCCAGTTTGATAAATAATGTTGTATGTGGTTCTCGTACAGCTTCTCTTCAGGTAGGACTCTCATGCTGCAACACTTGTCTTTGTAAAGAGAGAAACTGACAGGATAAAGTCTCTAACCTGCCTGTCAGCTCGCTCTGGGCCGTTTCAGTGGAATTACCGTAAAGTCTTGAATGCGCGTGCACTCCAAATGTAGGTGTGGCTAGCTTAATCGCCTTCTCACAGACGAGTGACAGAAACACTCAAAGTGGTTTTATCAGATTTTACTGCTGATTCTGTTCATGTAGTTTTTATGTCCCGGTGACCAGTGAAAGTGCAAATTCTGGCTCTCTCCCCATTCATTCAGATGGGAGCCTGGTCTTGTTGGTCTGAAATAGCTGCCCAGAGACGTTGCCAAGATGGCGGCCGAGTGGCTTGACTTGCCTGTAAGGACTTTGATATAAATTATGATGTTTAAGGCTTCCCCTCCACTGAAAAAAACGGCGGCAGACGAATATATCAATTTTGTGTGGAGTGGAACTAGCAGAGGGCTAAACCGGAAGTTAGCAAAGGCTAACAAATCATTGTAAACATGTTAACAAGTTAAACAATCAGTTTTTGTGTATCTTCAAGTACAAACAAACGTCACCAGTTACAATCCAGTGATTTCAGATACATACTCAGTGAGATCCCTGATGGAGGTCTCTTCATCTGTGGTGGTGCGGAAGTAAGTCCCCTGTTTGGTTCTCCAGAACCAGCCTGAAACATCGCCTTCGTTGAAGCCAGCCTCTAGGAGCTTACTCTCGCCCCTTACTGAAGTGGAGAGAAACTGCAGGCCGTCTCTCGGGTACAAGAGGATGGCGCAGGAGGACGACTCCATGAAGGCCACAACCAGCTGGAAAGTGTTTCTCTGAAAGTTCAAAGGACACGTTGTTGAGCAGTGGGACAACATTTATCCTAATTTTCTATCTTGTTTAGTTAAATGCAATGATCCTGTAGGGCCCTAACGGCAACATTTCAGATCAAGTTAATTTATGTGACAGGAATCACAAGCAGTAATAATGGAGGTTGAGGTAAATGTGTACAGGTTCAGTCTGGTGAAATTTTGAACTGCAAATTTATGTCAGTGACCAATTGCAAAGTGCCTCGTCAGTGCTGACCTTTGACCCGCAGAGTTTCTGATCTCTGATGTAGATGTGTTCAGGTAATGTAAGGTTTGGGACAGATCTGAACAACTTCCTGTTTCATGGCGAATCATCGATATTCGAGGCCACGCCATGGACACGCCCTTTGACAAAAATTCACAGATAGCACAACTTTTCATCGTCATTGCCTTTAGATTGCACAGCCAAAATTTTGATTAACTCTGTAGGAGGAGTTTGTGAAAGTACAGATGAAGTAAAAGGCCATAAGTGGGTTAAAACTGCACATTCGTTTCAACTTCCTCATGAGTTTAGGGTATGGGTCTTTGAGGCTTTTTTGTATGTCTTGATATGATACATGTCCCACAAAGATTTTGTGCAAGTAGGTTGAACGTGGCGTGGGGGTAAATTTATTTCAAGTTTGTAGGTGCCGCTATTGTACATTTTTATTAATTTATCCAAAGCGACTTACAATTGCTAAGTATGTCAGAGGTCATACGCTTCTGGGGCAACTAGGGGTTAAGTGAACTCATAACTTTTGAGTTGGTATTGCTGAACTACACGCCATTGGGCAAAAATTTCTATACAAGACGTCTGTCTGATAGGGCTGTAGCTAAATTTAAGGATGCGATTCCATCAGCTCTAAATTCATTATCAAGTCACAAAGTAACGGAGGACTCCTATACTAATTTCAGTCCCTCCCAAATCAATCATCTTGTTGATAGTGCTGCAGGCTCGCTGCGAATAACACTTGACTCTGTAGCCCCTCTAAAAAAGAAAATAATAAAACAAAGACGGTTAGCTCCATGGTATAATACTGAAACCCGCAAATTAAAGCAAATATCACGGAAACTTGAGAGGAATTGGCGTCTTAAAACTTATAGGAAGGCCCTCCGTAATGCCAGAGCAGCGTACTACTCGTCATTAATAGAGGAAAATAGGAACAACCCCAGCACTGTAGCCAGGCTGACAGAGAGTCACATCTCTATTGAGCCAAGTATTCCCATAGCTCTCAGTAGTTACGACTTCATGAGCTTCTTTAATGATAAAATTCTAACTATTAGAAACAAAATTCACCAAGACCTGCCCTTAACTAGCACCAACTTATCTCTAAACTTAGGAACCTTAGAAACAGCTGTAGAACCAGATAAATGTTTAGACTGCTTTGCTTCCCTCAATCTTTACCAACTAACTTCAATAATTTCTTCATCTAAACCATCAACCTGCCTCTTAAACCCCATCCCGACTTAGCTGCTTAAAGATGTTTTACCCTTAGTCAGCACCTCTATACTAGATATGATCAATCTATCTTTATCAACAGGCTATGTACCACAGTACTTTAAAGTAGCTGTAATTAAACCTCTTCTGAAAAAGCCCAAACTTGATCCGGATGTTTTAGCCAACTATAGACCTATATCTAACCTTCCATTTCTCTCTAAGGTCCTGGAGAAAGCAGTTGCTAAACAGCTGTTTGACTTTCTACAGAGCAATAGTTTATTTGAGAATTTTCAGGATTTAGAGCTCATCATAGCACAGAGACAGCACTGGTGAAAATTACTAACGACCTCCTTATTGCATCAGACAAAGGACTTGTCTCTGTACTGGTTTTATTAGATCATAGTGCTGCATTTGATACCATTGACCATCAGATCCTATTGCAGAGACTGGAACATTTCATTGGCATTAAAGGAACCGCTCTAAGCTGGTTTAAGTCCTATTTATCAGATCGATTTCAGTTTGTACATGTTAACGATGAGTCCTCCATGTACGCCAAAGTTAGTCATGGAGTTCCTCAAGGATCTGTCCTCGGACCAATGCTGTTCACTTTATATATGCTTCTTTTAGGCAATATTATCAGGAAATATTCCATAAGCTTTCATTGTTATGCAGATGATACTCAGTTATATCTATCGATCAAACCAGATGAAACTCATCAGTTAGCTAAACTTCAAATGTGCCTTCAGGATGTTAAAACCTGGATGACCTGTAATTTTTTAATGTTAAACTCAGATAAAACTGAAGTTATTGTTCTGGGGCCCAAGCACCTCCGTGACGCATTATCTAAAGATATAGTTTCCCTTGATGGGATCGCCCTGGCCTCCAGCACCACTGTGAGGAATCTTGGAGTTATCTTTGATCAGGACATGTCGTTTAAGTCTCACATTAAGCAAATTTCAAGGACCGCCTTTTTTCACCTACGTAATATTGAGACAATCAGGAACATCCTGTCTAAAAATGATGCAGAAAAACTAGTCCATGCATTTGTTACTTCTAGGCTGGATTATTGCAATTCCTTATTATCAGGCTGCTCGAAAAAGTTCATTAAGACTCTTCAGCTGATTCAGAATGCTGCAGCACGTGTTCTGACAGGAACCAGGAAAAGAGATCATATTTCTCCTGTCTTGGCTTCTTTGCATTGGCTTCCAGTAAAATCCAGAATAGAATTTAAAATCCTTCTTCTTACCTACAAAGCTCTTAATGGTCAGGCACCATCTTATCTTAAAGAGCTCATAGTACCTTACTACCCCACCAGAGTACTGCGCTCCCAGAATGCAGGGTTACTTGTGGTTCCTAGAGTCTCCAAAAGTAGACTAGGAGCCAGAGCGTTCAGCTATCAAGCTCCTCTCCTGTGGAACCAGGTTCCAGTTTGGGTTCAGGAGGCAGACACCATCTCCACATTTAAGAGTAGGCGGGGGATTTCCTATGATGCACTGAGCTCCTCTCTCCTCTACTTTCTCTCCCTCTGTATGCAACCTCATCCCATTATTGCATGTTACTAACACAACTTCTCCCCTTTCTGGTAGTCTTGTGCTTTCTCGTCCCTCTCCTCTCTCCTCCTATCACTTCCTGCAGGTTTTCTGGCTCTGGAGCTGTGGAGTCTGGATCTGTGGCTGCGGGTCACCTGCTGCCCCCGTGTTCCTGCTCGACACCCTCCGCTACAACAACTGTTGTTACTAGTCCTATTATTATTATTGTTATTATAATCATTAACATTACGATTGTTATTATTAACACTACTATAAATATCTGTACCATTTTTCATTTAGTCTATAGCAACATCACCTTTACTGTCTGTACCTCTGTGTGGATATTGTGTAGGCTGCCTCCCTCCCCTCTCTCTCTCCTTCCATCCCTCTCTTTTTCTCTCTGTTCCTCTCCTGCTCTCTCCCTCTCTCTCTCTCTCTCTCTCTCTCTCTCCCTCTCTCTCCTTCACCCCAACCGGTCGAGGCAGATGGCCGCCCACCCTGAGCCATGGTTCTGCTCGAGGTTTCTGCCTCTTAAAGGAAGTTTTTCCTTGCCTCTGTCGCCTAGTGCTTGCTCTTGGTGGGAACTGTTGGGTTTCTGTAAATAACATCACAGAGTACGGTCTAGACCTGCTCTTTTATGAAAAGCGCTGTGAGATAACTGTTGTTGTGATTTGGCGCTATATAAATAAAATTTAATTGAATTGAAAGTGTCATGCTCAGGGACACATTGGTGGTGCTGAGGATGAATTAGAGTTTAAGAGCCTGATAGCTTGGGGGCGGTCCTGGGCCGTGCACATCCCACGCTAGTTTGTGTGAGAACCTGGGTTTCTCACACAAAAGGCATGTATCTTATCCACTGCTCCATTACCACCCCTGGCTATGGAGTCATTTTGCCACGCCCATATTTGAGATCCATATAATACGTACATTATAAGTACACTTCTGACATGTGTTCAAAGTTTTGTGAGTTTGGGGGGAAATTTAGGCCGTCATTTATTTACGATTTATTTGAGTCTGAATAGGGTCCTCGCATGTTTCATGCTCGGTCCCTAATAATGAGTAATTTATTACATCTTTCAAGTAATTTGCACTTACACTGTCCATGAATTGATTTGCCTATTTCATGGTGACCACACAAGTGCATGATTAGGCAGCTGTGCTCTGGTTCTGCAGGACCAGCAGGAGACATTATTGTGCAAGCAGCAGAAAGAAAATGAATAGTTCTCACTGGCTGCACATGTTTGAGATGGTTTTGAGCAGCTGGGCACATCTGTGCAGAGGACAGTGAGCTGGTAAACTACAGGAGAGGACATGATAGCATGACCACATGTAGAATGTGTAGGTTATTATGAAAAATTATGTTTGCTGAAACAGAAAAAGAATGACAGAGGCGCTGCTTCATGGTGTTCCCTCTGCAAAGGCCATTATAACTTTCACCATCAGTCACGTACCCCACGAAAACACTGAGGAAACACATGGTACTTTACTTTTAGTATACATTTACTTTAAGTTATTTTTTGTCTACTTGTGTATATCTTTATATAATGCGTCACGGAGGTGCTTGGGCCCCAGAGCAATAACTTCAGTTTTATCTGAGTTTAACATGAGAAAATTACAGGTCATCCAGGTTTTAACATCCTGAAGGCACATTTGAAGTTTAGCTAACTGATGAGTTTCATCTGGCTTGATCGATAGATATAACTGAGTATCATCTGCATAACATTGAAAGCTTATGGAATATTTCCTGATAATATTGCCTAAAGAAGCATATATAAAGTGAACAGCATTGGTCCGAGGACAGATCCTTGAGGAACTCCATGACTAACTTTGGCGTACATGGAGGACTCATCGTTAACATGTACAAACTGAAATCGATCTGATAAATAGGACTTAAACCAGCTTAGAGCGGTTCCTTTAATGCCAATTAAATATTCCAGTCTCTGCAATAGGATCTGATGGTCAATGGTATCAAATGCAGCACTAAGATCTAATAAAACCAGTACAGAGACAAGTCCTTTGTCTGATGCAATAAGGAGGACATTAGTAATTTTCACCAGTGCTGTCTCTGTGCTATGATGAGCTTTAAATCCTGACTGAAAATCCTCAAATAAACTATTGCTCTGTAGAAAGTCACACAGCTGTTTAGCAACTGCTTTCTCCAGAACCTTAGAGAGAAATGGAAGGTTAGATATAGGTCTATAGTTGGCTAAAACATCCAGATCAAGTTTGGGCTTTTTCAGAAGAGGTTTAATTACAGCTACTTTAAAGTACTGTGGTACATAGCCTGTTGATAAAGATAGATTGATCATATCTAGTATAGAGGTGCTGACTAAGGGTAAAACATCTTTAAGCAGCCTAGTCGGGATGGGGTCTAAGAGGCAGGTTGATGGTTTAGATGAAGAAATTATTGAAGTTAGTTGGTAAAGATTGAGGGAAGCAAAACAGTCTAAACATGTATCTGGTTCTACAGCTGTTTCTAAGGTTCCTGAGTTAAGAGATAAGTCGGTGCCAATTGAGGGCAGGTCTTGGTGAATTTTGTCTCTAATAGCTAGAATTTTATCATTAAAGAAGCTCATGAAGTCGTAACTACTGAGAGCTATGGGAATACTTGGCTCAATAGAGCTGTGACTCTCTGTCAGCCTGGCTACAGTGCTGAAAAGAAACCTGGGGTTGTTCCTATTTTCCTCTATTAATGACGAGTTGTACGCTGCTCTGGCATTACGGAGGGCCTTCCTATAAGTTTTAAGACTATCTTGCCAAATTAAACGAGAATTTTCCACTTTGGTGGAACGCCAATTCCTCTCAAGTTTCCGTGATATTTGCTTTAATTTGCGAGTTTCAGTATTATACCACGGAGCTAACCGTCTTTGTTTTAGTATTTTCTTTTTTAGAGGGGCTACAGAGTCGAGTGTCATTCGCAGCGAGCCTGCTATGACAAGGAGAGAAGGAGGGAGAGACAAACTCCTCTCTCCAATGCCGACTCATGTTTCCACCGGCGTCTTTGAGATTTCAGAGCGAGAACTGGTGTCACCATGATGTTGAACTCATTGTGGATTACTTTCCAAGAACCCTGCCATTGCTGGTTCCTCGTGTCCAGACAGAACTAGGTAAAAAAAATCCTTCAAACCTTCTGCTTGGAACCTTTTTCAGAACTCATTGAAACTGACTGACTTTATTTGTTATCGACAGTTGATTTCAATTCTGAAGGATGAGGAGCAGGTGAATATCGGTCAGTGTCTTTGTTTCTAATATGTTATTTCTCCTTATTAAGCGAACTAAGAGGCTTGTGTGTATTTATGTATGTACTGCCGTTCTTTCATGCTGATGTTTTGGCCAGGTCTTTCTTGCAAAAGAAATTATATTAAAGATCAACTCATTAAAAAGCAGAACAGTAGGCCTTTATAATGTTACAGTCAGTAGGAAGTTAGCTAGCATTAGCTAACTAACATTACATTAAGAACAATCCACAGCCTACATTTTTCCGGATTTGTTTTAGGTTTAGGAAAGAGAATAAATCGTACTTTTCCTTTCAACCTCTCTGGGTAGCGACTGTAATTATTACAAGTGCCCCAGGAACAGTGTTTGACCATATCTTAGAAAAATACGGAAAGAAAGCTAGAAAACGACTTTTTGTTTTTGCACACGAGCCAATGGAGTGCAGCCATGAAAGTGTCGGACCTTAGTTAGAGTGAGTTCTATACTGCATTGTGATTGGCCAGCTGTGTATTCGGGGGGTGGCTTACCGAAGGGTCAATTGCCCTAAAGTAATACATTGAAGCCACTGCAGTCAGTTCAGCTGCAGCCATATACTGCACGGATTCAAAACATTTTGTACTTCTTGGTCATTTCAAATATACTGAAATTACCCCTTGAAGAATTGAAATATGTTTTGATGAATCACCGTGTCTCTGCTCTCTAGTGGACGAACTATGTAAATTATGCAAATAAATCTTTGAAGGGCCATTTATACGCTGATGCTGAGGTATCCCTCTGGCTACAGAAACAAACCATCCTCTAAAAACCCAACACTGTCACCTCACCTTAGCGTCCAGCCCGTCTCCTCGTCCAGACGTCCCCTGGGCGGCCATGTTCTCCCAAGTGACAATGAGGGCGCCGCTGGGCTCCACGCCGTCGTCTCTAGGGAAAGCTCTCCTGATGTGCTCGGCGGCCCGACTCAGTACATCCGGGCTGTCATCCTGCCTGAAGTGGACCTTCCCCTGTCCGTCACTGTTGTCCAGGTCTCCCAGCAGGGCTGCAATCATTTTGAAATTGCTGGGCATCTTCCCAAGGTACTCCTCCATAGCCGGAGGTTCAACAACGGCCACAAACCCATTGGTGTTAATCTGGAACAGAAGGAGGATATTTGTTAATGAAGGGTCGACTACAGTATGATTCATGTTTGTACAGTCCAGTTCCACCACTTCAGAAAAACTTTTCCACAGCATCATGTTTTTTTAGCGATGCACGATATGTTTTTTTTTTTTTCACGATCCGATAACCAATAATTTCTTAGTTAATAACCTGTCATTTCTACACACCTGATAATAAGAAAGGCTACGCTGTCATGTGCTGCAAGATTAATAATTTAATATTGCAGTAATGTTAATGTCTTTATCCGGCCACTGAGCCGTCAAACTAAGCATACTCACTGGGCTAATGTCAGAAGTCCATATGTCCGTGGTAAAACTTACCGTAAAACTTGACTTGATTAATAGCCCGGGCTTTTATTTGCTAAAATCACTGAACTGACCCTGCCTATATTTGGGACAGGCCTTTAATTCCTCTCACACAAAACTGAAACAGGCTACTATGAAATGGTTTATTTATTTCAAACAGAATATTACTTGTATAAAAATGTCATTCATTTGATCTAGCTCCGACAGACGGCTAATGCGCTTTTATTTTGAAGGCAGCGACGTAACGAAAACAACAGCAGGATGAGAGAAGTGTGGCAGAAGTTAGCAGACAGAGAGCGATGGACTTCACATGACAGGATTCACAACACGGATTCATTTTTATGATTTGATTCTTTTGATGGGTGGACCCTTCCAGACTGAAGGCAGATAATTAATCAAGGAGCGGACACGTTCGGACTTAACGAGGCTTCAAAGGGAGTCGGCACTTTTCATCTCTTGTACCGTGCAGGTTACAGCGGTAAATCTATAATGGTCCTTTCAGACCAAACACAAATTTAATCCTCGCGACGCTTTCCTCGCGTGAGTACATTCGCTGCCCGACAGGAAATCGCATTGTATGTAAACTCACTGCCCCAAACGCTCGCTTCGCTTTTGGTCTGAAAGCACAGTAAGAATTAGACTTTGGGGCTCGTTGTTTCCGTTAAATTAAGTGAACGACTGAATTGTGGAGAATCTAACCGATCTAACGAGGTGCAGCATGTCCACACTGACCTGTTGATCACACGTTTAAACGTTAATATTTATATTAACGATCTGAGCAGCTTAGAAGCAGCTAAAGCGGTGACTTGCAGGTTTTTAAGAGGTTTTACATCCAATTTTAGCTGCTGCTTTGTATATTTTTAGCAAATCTTCATCACGATTAACTTTCAGATGACTTGTAAGATTTGTTGTGTTGAAATTTGGAAAACATTTCCCTCCTGTTGGAACCTTTCCAGAACCAACGTCTTCGCCTGAAACTGTAAATCAAAAATTAGAACCGCATTGTTGGATTCTCACTGGCTAAATTATCGGCCAAAATTTTATTTTTCCAATTATCATGCATTGTTCATTCATATCTCCTAATTATGACATCTTATACCTGTGAGAACCTTTCTTTACTTTTATTATGAGCTCAGTTAAAATTCTGACAAATGTTGTACTTATTATTCTCTAACAAATGGAACAGGGTATGATCTAAAAAAGTTTGACTCAGCATATCATAATAGTTTGGATTATTGACCTGCTGGGAACGGATAATGGACGTGACCTTGAAGGAAGAAGAAGCTACAAAGAAGAAGAAGGAGGAGGAGAAGAGATAATGTTTGTTAGTTTGTTTTAAAAATGTCTGAGAGGGAGTGAGGAGAGACGGGAGGTCAGCCGGTCCTGTTCCAGGCTTCAGTACAGAGAGACCTCCAGTTAAAGCTCCTCTCTCCTCTGCAGCTCTGTTCGCTTTGTCGGACCATAGGAATTCCACCCAATAACTTCCTCCTTCACTCAGAAGAAAAGATCTTTTTAGCCTCATTAACTCAAATCCGCCTCTCTCTGAACGGAGAGCAAATGCCACAGTCAGTGTTTGAGCCCAGAACTATGAAGTGTATCTGAGGCGGTTTTTGTCTCACTGACGACTTCAGCTTTGATTTCCACCATGACTGTTTCAGGTTTTTAATGTGATCATTTATCTGAACCAGTAAAAGGAGCCGTGCGTGGAGTTACATTTCATTTAAACGATCTATAAATAATTAAAAATGTCGTTGTGTATTTTTATTTGACCAGATAAGATATTTCACATTACGAAAAAATATAAAGGGTCGACCTAACAATAATCAAAACACGATATCTTATTATAACAATGTTTAGAAAATATAAGAAAAGCTGGTTATTTTCTTGGTGAAACACTTGTTTAGTCTTGTCAATGTCAATGTCAAAATTGTGTAAAAAAATCTTATCACATTTTCCAAGGACCCAAGAAGACGTCTTCAAATGTCTTGTTTTGTCTGAGCAGACAAAGAATTTCAGTTTTCAATGATAGAAAACAGAGAAAAGCAGCAAAGCTCAACTCAACCTTCTACCTTTAATGAACTGGTCAGTGATTTCAATAACCTGTTGTTTCTCAGCGTTAGATGCCACTACACCTTTAACAAGTCAGCTGCAGCAATCATAAATGATGCTATTTGTAGCTGCAAGCAAGACTGCACATGGAAGAGCATTAGACTATTCTCACTCAGAAAGGATGCAAGAACAGCTCACTTCTCAGGATTAATTACCAATAATAAAAACAATCACTGAGGCCCGTTAAGCACAGTCAATCAGCTCGTCCATCCTCCACCTGCTGCCACCTCAACTGGAGAGTGTGTGAACTGTATTTATCATTTCTTGTCGACAAAATCAACAATATCAGGTCAAACATTGTGCCCCAGCTCTCTTCTTCTGATCCACCCATCAGTGGTGGATGAAGTATTCATATCCTTTCAGGGCTCAACTGTAAACTTTTTTGCAACTGGCCCTCAACCTTACTGGCCTGAAGACAATTTTTACTCTTTCCCTCCAAAAGTTATTTATCAGTGTTACAACAAAACTAAAGACTTATAAGTTATTTTATACTGTTAACATGTTTAATCGGTTATTAAATACATCCTGGATAAAAAAAACTCAACTAAAATGTAATCAGAGTTAAAATTACGAAAAATAAAAAGGTTAACAAAACAATTTACTTTTAAAACAAAATATAATAACAGACTCAAACATGACGTGCTCTCTCTCCTGCTGACTGCCATTTAATAAAAAAATGTACACAGAGCAGCGGATACAAGTGGCCTCTATTCTGATTGACGACGTCGACTAAAAAAATTTGTCAATGTGAAATTTCATTATCGAGGCATCGTTACGTAGATGCTGTTTAAGGAAAAGATAGCAATCTTCATATTAGGAACATTTCTGGTTGTTTATTTGTAACTGCAATACACTGCAGGAAGTGCTGGGGGCAGTATCGCTTCCACTGTCTGCCATGACTGCTTGACTACTCACGAAGAAGAAGCTTTCATTCGAGAGGCGGAAAGTCAAGTACAAAGAGGCAAACAGCAGAACGCCTTTTGTTTTTTTAAAGTTTAGTTTAGTTTAATCACTAAATACACTTTTGGTCGGTTTTGAGGCCATTTGAATATTGGCAGTTTTAACAAAGTTGATGGCGAATCGAAAATGTGCTCAAATGTCTTCGAGGTTGAGAAGCTCCACAAGTACCCGCGGGGTTAAGGCTCATTTATACTCCTGCGTTGGGTAACAAGTATAAATGCCTGTCTACGTGCGTAGCTACGGTCAAATATATTGATGCCGTTTTGGCCGCTAGTAAAAGTTACTTCAAAGCACGGGCACTTCCTGTCGGCTCTGAGTCATTGCGAGCCTACCCATCCAACCAATCACAGAGCTTACGGTCCGCGTTGCCTCGACGTGTACATTTTTGAGGAGGTGCACGTCAGGTTACGGTGTAGGTGACGGTGTAGGATAGGGGGCTACGCAGAGGCTATGCTGTCGATTTGACGCAGAAGTATAAATTGCAATTTAGAGGTGCCAGCCGCCCTGGTCGCAGTTACTCGGACCACTGCAGCAGCAACAACAGAGCTGCAGAGACAGAGGAAAGGCAGTGTTTCCTTTTTATATACTATGTTTCCTATACGTTCATTTATTTATGGCAGCCCGCCACAATATCAACGCTGACCGCAACATACTGATTTTGTTTTGTTTCTTTTTATTTTACTAGGCCTATTTAAAATCTTATTTGATTGCAGATCAGTGCCGTAGTGCATTCGCGCAGCACATCCTCTCGCTCGTCTCTCTCTCTCCCTCATGAACACCGCAGCACAAATCTGTCCAACACAACGCTGGCAATGTCAGAGACCCAACTTTAAAAAAGTTATTAGTAGTGAGTAATGGTTTAAAGTACATCAAGGAACATCTGGCTCGTGATGTAGCCTACAGAACATTCTCCACTGAGTTACTGCCTAAAACTTATAAGAACATTTGAAAAATAAACTACAGTAGTAGTATGAAAGGGAGCTGTTGCTTTATTATTCTAAATAGACATTACATTGTTAGTGTTCAGTGGTGGTTATAGTACTTGCTCTTATTTTATATAGTTCCAACAATCTTTCTTAAACAGTTAAAAGTTTTAAAGTTTGTATAAATCAGTGACTTTTACTTTTCTTCTTCCCTGGTTTCCCCCTGCCGTTGATCCTGGTGTTCATTCTGAATAGTAAACCTCGTTCACTTAATGCTAACGTTAGCTTGTTAGGCTGTGTGTTGGAGATCAGTAATTCACTTGAAAGATATTTAATTAGTTAAATGGTTTAATTAGGGTTAGGGGGTCACAAAAATATTCGTGACCAGTTGACTAATCAAATAAATAATTAACAGATTAGTCGACTACGAAAATAGTCATTAGTTGCAGCCCTACACAGGACCATAATTTACTAAATGAAGCGACGAGGCCATAAACTCATTAGGAAAGTGTTTACTGAGGTAATAAATCAGCTGAGAAGTAGCAACATTTTATTTCTAATGGAACCGGTCTTCTTTCTGCAGCCAGCAGACTCGACCCCTGTTGGCTGTTAGAGAGAATGCAGGTTTAAGTTCCCTCTGCATGGTTTCACTTTCATACCCAAATCGCTGCTTGA